TAAATGGCCTTTCTAAGGTATTATTCAATGAATGAATGAAACTATTTCATTCAAGTCAAAATTACCAATTTATAAATACTATGATAAGCTATTTTCTGTGCCCACCTGTCCACAGTTGAAGCCATCAAAAATTGATATATCCTCTTCCATCTAGCAACTTGAACAGTTAATGAATAAAGTTAATCATTTTTCATTAAAAGTTGATCATGATTTAAATCAATATGTCCAAGAGAAATGGGTACTTTCCTGTTATCTCAGTACCTCATGCCTAGATCACCCTACCATCCAGACAAATCTTTAGGACAAGTTCATAATCACGACAACCTACCAGAAACTGTGAATTTTATTTTTCTGCATTCTGCTGAAACTGATTTGGGGAGGGGGTTAGGTAAAGTTAGGTTAGGTCAGGTTATGTTAGTTACAAATTTCTTTTAATTAACATAACCTGACCTAACCTAACTTTACCTAACCACCTCCCAAAATCAGTTTCAGCAGAAACTTAAGAAAGCAGAAACTGATTTTGGGAGGCGGTTAGGTGAAGTTAGGTTAGGTCAGGTTAAATTGTTCAGAGGGAAGGTACAGAGATAACAGGAAAGTAGGTACTGAGATAACAGGAAAGTACCAAAAAATGCATGCACTGCTGCAGTTCTTTGGCAGTGGTTGTTTGTGTATAAAAGTTTTATACCAATTGTAAGTACAACTGCAAGCCTTTAAAAAATGAATGCCCAATTACAATCACTATTGCAATGCCTACACAATTGTATTCCACAATCAAACTTCCAATGATTGTTTGGATTGATGGCTTAAATTTAAAACATAGCTACTATAAGGAGTTATCAGTAAAGCAAAAATTCTTCAAAATGTGTCTCCTTTGAGTGTAACCCCTTGGAATTTTTTTAAATTGCATATGAGGTGGTTCTGGTGGTCTGCCAGAAGCAGACACATTTCCAAAGAATTTTTGCTTTGAATGTAACCCCCTCTCATGAAATGGTGAGAAAATGTGTGGATTGATGTTTTAAATCTTAGGATTTGTGTTTCAAGCCTGTGGATTAAAATGTTACATGCTGAGGTTATGCTCAAAGCAAAATCCATTTTCAACAAATTTCTGCTGTGAGCATAACCCCCTTTTAAAACAATTTTTAAAATCTGCAATCTACCCTTCCTGTAAATTGAAATTAGGACCTAATTTTAAAACTTTTTTTTTCCAGAAAAACCCCCTTTCAGATGCAATGTTATATTGCACTTCAATCTGAAATTCACACTTGAAAAGAAAATTGTCCTCAGAACTTTGTATTCATCTGGATTTTTTTTCCATACATTTTTGGGATTGTCTAAGGGTACCTTTTTTATATGTTGAATAGCATGAATGTCTTCTCAATCAAACATAATCCTTGTGTATGATTTGTGCTCATTTTTTTATAGCCATAAGATAAATGTTGATTTTTCATACATTTTTGGGATTGCAGATTCAAAACATTTTGTCTAAGGGTATCTTTTTTATGTTGAATAGCATGAATGTCTTCTCAATCAAACATAATCACTGTGTATGATTTGTGCTATTTTTTTATAGCCAGAAGATGAATGTTGATTTTTCATACATTTTTGGGATTGCAGATTCAAAACATTTTGTCTAAGGGTATTTTTTTTATTTTGAATAGCATGAATATCTTTTCAATCAAACCTTATCATTGTGTATGATTTGGGGGGTTTTTTTTTGCAGCCATAAGAGAAAAGTTAAATTTTTCCTAAGAATTTTGTTCATATAATATGAGGTTTAAATATCGCCCAACAATTTTTCTTGCCAAAAAATGTTGGCAGCATACAAGGTGTTTGTTTGTACTACAAGTTACTGTACCCACTGTATGACAATCATTGAGTCATGTGCTGATACGGTGATGTGCACACAGCACAAACACCAAGCCTGCGCTGATGGGAAATTGTGCTGAAGGAGGAATTGCGCCTTTTGCGCTGGAGAAGCCTCTTCCCAATAAGTCTTGTGTGTGTGTGTGTGTTCATCAGCCAACCGCCCCTCCTCCCACCTCGTCCCCCCCCGGTTTTTTCTGTCTGGTGCTGGGTATAAAAAGCCGGGACCTGGGGCCAGAAGCCTCAGTTCACCCATCAACTCCGACCTGGTCTGAGATCTGCCTCGAGGGCACAGCAGAGGGATCCCTCGAACGCAGTTCTCTCAGCTCGGATGTTTTGGATATAGTCAACCAAAAGAAAAAGAAAAAAAATTTTCTCTCTGGTGCAAAGAGTTTATATAAGAATGTTATTTTTTTTTAAAATATCAGCCTCTCGGCTGTTTTGGATATAGTCAACCAAAAGAAAAAAAATTTCTCTCTGGTGCAAAGAGTTTATAGGAATGTTATTCAAAAAAAATATCAGCGTGGGAGTTTCCCCACATTATTTGAGCCTTCCTTTTTAAAAAATTCCGAGAAATGAGAAACTCCTCGAAAATAAGTTTTTCGTATGGATAGCATCGCTGGGTGATTTCGTTGAAGATCGGGAAAATTTTTCTTGTAAAAAAGAAACAGTCGGGAAATTTGGCTCAATTTTATGATGGTGCTGTGTTCGAATACTTCGAGATTGACGAGTGATTCAGTGCCTGCTTGATCCGGAAATATTAATATATTTTCGTTCATGTTCAACACATGTCGTGACTTGAATGTGATGTGATTTCGAGATCGAGATTTAAAATNACATTTCCAAAGAATTTTTGCTTTGAATGTAACCCCCTCTCATGAAATGGTGAGAAAATGTGTGGATTGATGTTTTAAATCTTAGGATTTGTGTTTCAAGCCTGTGGATTAAAATGTTACATGCTGAGGTTATGCTCAAAGCAAAATCCATTTTCAACAAATTTCTGCTGTGAGCATAACCCCCTTTTAAAACAATTTTTAAAATCTGCAATCCTCCCTCCCTATAAATTTAAATTAGGACCTAATTTTGAAACTTTTTTTTCAGAAAAACCCCCCCTTAGATGCAATAAATGTTTTAATGCACTTCAATCTGAAATTCACAGTTGAAAAGAAAATTGTCCTCAGAACTTTGCATTCATCTGGATTTTTTTTTCATACATTTTTGGGATTGTCTAAGGGTACCTTTTTTATATGTTGAATAGCATGAATGTCTTCTCAATCAAACATAATCATTGTGTATGATTTGTGCTCATTTTTTTATAGCCATAAGATAAATGTTGATTTTTCATACATTTTTGGGATTGCAGATTCAAAAAATTTTGTCTAAGGGTATCTTTTTTATGTTGAATAGCATGAATGTCTTCTCAATCAAACATAATCATTGTGTATGATTTGTGCTCATTTTTTATAGCCAGAAGATAAATGTTGATTTTTCATACATTTTTGGGATTGCAGATTTAAAATATTTTGTCTAAGGGTATCTTTTTATATGTTGAATAGCAGGAATGTCTTTTCAATCAAACCTTATCATTGTGTATGATTTGTGCTCTTTTTTTACAGCCATAAGATAAATGTTGATTTTTCATACATTTTTGGGATTGCAGATTCAAAATATTTTGTCTAAGGGTATCTTTTTATATGTTGAATAGCAGGAATGTCTTTTCAATCAAACCTAATCATTGTGTATGATTTGTGCTCTTTTTTTATAGCCATAAGATAAATGTTGATTTTTCATACATTTTTGGGATTGCAGATTCAAAATATTTTTTCTAAGGGTATCTTTTTTATTTTGAATAGCATGAATGTCTTTTCAATCAAACCTAATCATTGTGTATGATTTGTGCTCTTTTTTTATAGTCACAAGAGAAATTTTGATTTTTTTATTCGAATTTTGTTCATATAGTATGAGGTTTAAAAATCGGCCAAAAATATTCTTGCCAAAAAATGTTGGCAGCATACAAGGTGTTTGAACTACAAGTTACTGTACCCACTGTATGACAATCATTGAGGCAAGTGCTGATAAGGTGATGTGCACACAGCACAAACACCAAGCCTGCGCTGATGGGAAATTGTGCTGAAGGAGGAATTGCGCCTTTTGCGCTGGAGAAGCCTCTTCCCAATAAGTCTTGTGTGTGTGTGTGTGTGTGTTCATCAGCCAACCGCCCCTCCTCCCACCTCGTCCCCCCCGGGTTTTTTCTGTCTGGTGCTGGGTATAAAAAGCCGGGACCTGGGGCCAGAAGCCTCAGTTCACCCATCAACTCCGACCTGGTCTGAGATCTGCCTCGAGGGCACAGCAGAGGGATCCCTCGAACGCAGTTCTCTCAGCTCGGATGTTTTGGATATAGTCAACCAAAAGAAAAAGAAAAAAAATTTTCTCTCTGGTGCAAAGAGTTTATATAGGAATGTTATTTTAAAAAAAATATATCAGCCTCTCGGATGTTTTGGATATAGTCAACCAAAAGGAAGAAAAAATTCTCTCTGGTGCAAAGAGTTTATAGGAATGTTATTTAAAAAAAAAAATATATATATATATATATATCAGCGTGGGAGTTTCCAAACATTATTTGAGCCTTCCTTTAAAAAAAATTCCGAGAAATGAGAAACTCCTCGAAAATAAGTTTTTCGTATGGATAGCATCGCTGGGTGATTTCGTTGAAGATCGGGAAAATTTTTCTTGTAAAAAAGAAACAGTCGGGAAATTTGGTTCAATTTTATGATGGTGCTGTGTTCGAATACTTCGAGATTGACGAGTGATTCAGTGCCTGCTTGATCCGGAAATATTAATATATTTTCGTTCATGTTCAACACATGTCGTGACTTGAATGTGATGTGATTTCGAGATCGATATTTAAAATGCAAAAAAAAAATTGAAGTGGAAATCTTGGCTGATTTCCTCCGGTCCAGTAACAAAAAGTCTTCGAATTACCATAAGCATAATTAAAAAAAAAAAAACATATTGATCGATCAGCAAGAAATCGTTGATTCTACGCATTTTTGCGAAAACGCGAGATTTTGCTCGAAACTTCCCTGTAAAATATTAATTTTGCGCGAAATAATTATTTTGATTGCACGATTTTGTGTTTTTTTTTCATTCAAACAGGAATTTCTCCGCGCAGAGAAACGCTTTTGGTATTCCAGAAATCTTCGAGAATTTTCTTTGAAAACTCGTTCCTGTCACACAAAAACTTCAAAATGATGAAGGTAAGTTTTTTTTTCATATTCTCACCGAAAAAGTTATGGCACTAAATCAAATGAAATATTTTCTGGCGAAACGGAATTTGCTGGAAAAAAAAATTTGTTGCTGAAGGAAAGACTTTTTCAGGGTAGTGCCGATTCGCTGAAATTTGAAATTTTGAGGGGATTATTTTTGTCAAAATAAATTTGTAAAGTTTTAAAGAAAGTTCAGTTGGAGTTTGTTCCAATATTTTTTTTAAATCCTGGTCTTGTTGAAGACGGGCGTCACTTTCAACTGGATAAGTCCTATATTTTTCTCATATTTACACGTTCATTTTAAAGTTTTAAATAATTTATTATTCGAATGTATGACTTTTTTGTCGAGAAACTTAAAAGGTAGGATATTCAAAATCCCGAGAGGGAGTTTTCTAGATTTTTCAAAAAATGTTTACGTCGGCGAAATCGTTCCTGCGCAGAAAATCACGAGTTCATTCATTTTCTCTCTCGTCTGTTCGCGGAGTTTATTTTATTTTATTGTTTGATGGATTTCAAATTTTATTTCTTGAATAGATTGTCGGTTTGTTCTGCCTGGTGGCTGTTGCTGTTGCTCGTCCCCAGCAAAATTCGTACGGACCTCCGTCCAACAACAACAACAACAACGGATATCGTCAGCCTCAACAGAATGGTTACCAAGGCAATCTTCTGGGTGCTGCTCAAACACTTGGGGATTCCGAGGTAAAAGAAACTCGCAGATGATGAAATAAATTGACAAACTTGAGGGCAAAACTTTAACGAGAAAAAAAGAGGCTTTTTTAAAGTAATCATCAGCTCCGATATTTTGAAAACGAGAGCATCCAAAATATATTTATCTGATTGACCCACGACGACGTTGCGAAATCGTGATGTGGAAGATTTGCATTTGATGTCGTTTTCTGAATATTAATGATCGAATTTTGCTTAGATTGCGAAACCTTTGATTCATACTAAACGTTTTAGCTTGCTTCGAAAATCGGTATTTTAAAACTTGGAAATTTCATGATACGATCTTTCTTGTTTCATTTTCCCGACTGGAAAATTGGTTTTTTCTTCATTGCCTGAATTTTGAGAACAACCGGTTCCGATGAGAAAGAAATTGTGAAAGCGAACAATTTTTAAACTTCATGACGTAGTGACTTTTATTCTTTTTTTCCTGATGCGAATTTCTGCACAAGATGGAATTTAATGGGGGGTTTTTTTTCTTCTCAGAGTACTGAGAAGAAGAATAGTGGTGCTCTGAATAAGTCTTCGTTCTTCTAGGTTTGGTTTCGCTTGTTTTCTTTTTTTTTTATATTTGCGAACGAATTTTCCAGAGATTATTATTGGTTGAGCCGGATGGCGTGACCGGACCTTGGGCAATAACGCAACGTAACCTCGCTCGTCTTTCTATATACACGTAACACAACGTCTTCCTTTTCTTTCCTTCTTTTTTTTTCCTCTTGTTCATTTACGGTTTCTGTCCTTTTTTCACGCATTTCATCGTCAATTTAAAAAAAGGAAAAAATAGAAAAACGTAAGGAATAAAGTGCATCTGCTCCTGCTGTGTATATATATATATATATATATATATATATTTATAAATACGCTTGTTCTCGAGGGCGAAGAATTCTATGGGAAATGTTTTTCCCCCTCAGGGTCGTTTTGGAACACGATGAGATGTAATTTTTTCGCGCTTGTCAACGCAATTATCATTTTATTTGCACTATATCTGATTTCTTCTTTTTTTTTTTCCTCGCGCTTTGAATTTTCTTGGAATTAACTCGAGATTTTCCCACGTCGAGTAGATGGAACGAAATGGAGATTGGTGCGCGTGTAGCGAATTTTACTTGTTTGATGGCTAGAGGTCGCCTCTGTGCGTTCTTCGGAAATAATTTCTTACTGCATGGATTCATTTAAATTTTATATTTGAGCAATTGTTGGTTCGAAATGATTGTCTTCTAACTTTCGAATGAACTGGATTTATATTGCAGCTTTAAATCTTCATCGAAATGGAGAAAAGTTTTGAAATTATTTAGAAGTTTGAAGGTCTCCTATACTTGTAGATCACTTTTCGTATTCAAGATTACAGTACTTGAATGGCCTCTACTTTTTTGCTCAATTTTAGATGAGAGAATTTGCCGAAGAGTCTGGAAAAATGTTAGAAAGATTATCTGCTGAACGCTTGAATTATATTTCTGAAAAGTATTGAAGGATATTCAAGAGTATTTGTTCTGAATTCATTCAACAATTCAGAATTCATCATTCATTGTTCTTTATAATGATTGGGTAGGTGATAAAAAAATTTCAGAAAACAAAGGATACAGAATGCAAATACCTGAGACAGAGAATATAATCTGAAAACTTTTGGTGAACATGCTGTTAAATGAACTCTACTGATTCAGAAAACTTGAAAAATTTCAGTTCTTGGATATATTTGACATTGCATTTCAGGTATGGCCAAACTTGTAGTAAAACCTCATTTCAGGGGTCAATGCGGTATTTCAGAAACCCTCGCAAGATGTCAGGTGTATAATTTTGACATTGCAACAGTGCCTCTACTTTTTGAGACCTCAAGTGGACTTTTCGGAATATATTTGTGCTCTTTATAACGCTAAATCTTTTTAAGATTTCTGATCAGAGTAAAATTGGCTGGCATTATTGCAAATATGATTTTACATTTTAAAACGATTATGCAATTGATTCATCATAGCCGTGTACAGTACTGAAAAAAATGGTTCATTATAGCGAATAATTTTTATTCGTAGCTTACTGACCCAGAACTAGCAGAATATATTTTATATTTTGTGCAAGAACTTGGAATGACAAACGAAATATTTCTGCAATGTCTTTTTTTTCTGCTGGAAAGTGGTGTTGAAATATCAAAAGAGGATCCCCGTGTAACGCAACCGACGTATTGTTGGAAGAATTTCCGGTGTTTCTCAATTATTTAATGTTTTGCGCGCAATTCTGCAGAGATAATTTCTTACTGCATGGATTCATTTAAATTTTATATTTGAGCAATTGTTGGTTCGAAATGATTGTCTTCTAACTTTCGAATGAACTGGATTTATATTGCAGCTTTAAATCTTCATCGAAATGGAGAGAAAAAAGGGAGAGTTTTGAAATTATTTAGAAGTTTGAAGGTCTCCTAATACTTGTAGATCACTTTTCGTATTTAAGATTACTTGAATGACCCCTACTTTTTTGCTCAATTTTAGATGAGAGAATTTGCCAAAGAGTCTGAAATAATGTTAAAAAGATTATATCTGCTGGAAGCTTGAATTATATTTCTGAAAAGTATTGAAGGATATTCAAGAGTATTTGTTCTGAGTTAATTCAACAATTCAGAATTCATCATTCATTGTCCTTTATAATGATTGGGTAGAAACAAAGATTTCAGAAAACTAAAGGTACAGAATTCAAATACCTGAGACAGAGAATATAATCTGGAAACTCTTGGTGAACATGAACTCTACTGATTCAAAAAACTTGAAAAATTTAAATTCTTAAATATATTTGACATTGCATTTCAGGTATGGCCTAACTTGTATAGTAACACCTCATTTCAGGGGTCAATGCGATATTTCAGAAACCCTCGCAAGATGTCAGGTGTATAATTTTGACATTACAACAGTGCCTCCACTTTTTGAGACCTCAAGTGGACTTTTCGGAATATATTTCTGCTCTTTATAACGCTAAATCTTTTTAATAATATTTCTGATCATAGTATAATTGGCTGGCATTATTGCAAATATGATTTTACATTTTGAAACGAGTATGCAATTGATTCATCATAGCCGTGTACGGTACTGGAAAAAAATGGTTCATTATAGCGAATAATTTTTATTCGTAGCTTACTGACCCAGAACTAGCAGAATATCTTTTATATTTTGTGCAAGAACTTGGAATGACAAATGAAATATTTCTGCAATGTCAAAAAAAGACGACCTTTCACCACAACTTTATAGTTTTCTCCTAGGGGCACATTGCGTTGGCTGCATAACAACCTTCTTAAAGGCCACAAAGAGTTAATAAATTACAAAACGCGCGTTAAGACGTCTCGATGTTACTTATCCGTTGCGCAAAATTTCGTGCGCGGAAAATGTTTCAACCTTGGGTTTCTTATCGTATATAGAAGACTCAATTTTTACTACATTTTTTGAAGGGCCAACAGAGAGAAAATAGTACAGCACTTTTACTTTTATGCGAGGAAATAATCCTTGTACCGTCGAAAAGTTCATGCCAAATTCGAGAGAGTGCCTTTTATTTATTTTTTTCATTTTTTCGAAATATGGTTTGAATTTTCTTGAAGCCAAATTCAAAAATGCTCTTCTTTCAGGGATTTTTTGAGAGCAAAAGTACGCCGAGAAGAAATGGTGTGATGCAATTTATTGTTGAGATATGCTGCAAATATATCGTAAGACTTTGTGACCTGATTTTAAATGGAGCCTTCTCACTAAGAGAGACGTTAAAAACTAATCTAAAATGGAGTTTTTCATTCAACATATTATGTATGGATAGGGAGATACATCCCAAACGCGGGAGAATTTCGGAGGAAATGAAATTTGCATGTCAAGTACTGCAAATATTTGATACCAAGAGGCTGCAGTGTGATCCTGTAGCATATACTATAGTTTTTCACAACGTAATTTCAATATTTATTCTTGACTTTCCAAACAGAGAGTCGCTGGAATTCTATTTAATTGGCGCATTCCCAGCCCTTCATTCAACAAGTAGCTATCTTAATTTGTGTGGTTTTAATTTGTTTTAATCCCTCTGGAATTCTTGTTATCATTCTTTGACAAAGAGTCAGACACATTTTAACATAGATGGTGTCCTTTTTCTCTCAAGTCATGTCTGAAATTTAATCTAGACTTAATTGTTGAATCAGGAGTTACTTCTTCTTTCATGATTTAGTTGATTGGGGACTTCAATTTGTGAAATTATTGGAATACCTTCAGAGGATTTGCCTGATCAGTATGGGGTTGTTTTGCAGCCCACCATTCAAGGAATGGGAATTCAGGATTTTTAAATGAAAATTTGAAAATATTTTCGAAAAATCAACAAGATTATACTGTAGTCCATATGCAAAATGGTACAGATTAAAGTAAGCTGAATGCAATATGACAATGTTTCCTTGTTCATTCCAGCCCTTATGCTTTCAGTTTGAATATTTTAATGATTTCGAAGAAAACTCATGTGTTCAGATTTGAACACATGCATACATATATGTTTTTTGTTGTATACCTGATGGTTTATTGTTTAAAATTTTCCAGGCCGGTATGCCGTACCAGTTCAACTGGGAAGTGATAGCATTCTGAAACACTGGACTAAAATTTACCTCGGAAGAGTGATTCTCTCTGCAATTTTTGATTAGATTTTACCTCAAAAAGTAAGTTGTATAATACATACCTATCCCTCTATGTAGGGTTTGCGCAGAGAATTTCGGAGGAAATGAAATTTGCATGTCAAGTACTGTACTGCAAATATTTGGTACCAAGAGGCTGCAGTGTGATCCTGTAGCATATAGTACAGTTTTTCACAACTTTATAATTTCAATATTTATTCTCCACTTTCCAAACAGAGAGTCGCTGGAATTATATTTAATTGGCGCATTCCCAGCCCTTCATTCAACAAGTATCTATCTTAATTTGTGTGGTTTTAATTTGTTTTAATCCCTCTGGAATTCTTGTTATCATTCTTTGAGAAAGAGTCAGACACATTTTAACATAGATGGTGTCCTTTTTCTCTCAAGTCATATCTGAAATGTAATCTAGACTTTATTGTTGAATCAGGAGTTACTTTTTCTTTCATCATTTAGTTGATTGGGGACTTCAATTTGTGAAATTATTGGAGTACCTTCAGAGGATTTGCCTGATCAGTATGGGGTTGTTTTGCAGCCCACCATTCATGGAAAGGGAATTCAGGATTTGTAAATGAAAATATTTTCGAAAAATCAACAAGACTATACTGTAGTCCATATGCAAAGCACATTATGGTACAGACTAAATTAAGCTGAATGCAATATGACAATGATTCCTTTTTCATTCCAGCCCTTATGCTTTCAGTTTGAATATTTTAATTTAAAGCTTCTTTTGAGTACACAAGTCTAAACTTGTGTACGTATGTATATACAAAAAACAACATATGGACTACCAAATAACAAATTTTAAAAGGTCCGGCCATACGGCATGGTCAAGTTGACCCTTCACCGCGCCCCGGAATTCAACAACGATTACTCTCACCAACAATCCAGTGACGGACGTGTGACCCAAGGCGAATACCGAGTCTTGTTGCCCGACTCCCGAGTGCAGATCGTGCGCTTCACCGCTGATGAGAACGGCTATGTTGCCGATGTCCAGTACGAAGGTACTGCTCAGTACCCCCAGGCCTCCAACAACGTGCCGGTTTCCGTCTCCGCTAACGGCTATGGTGGCCAACAAAACAATGGTGGCTACAACAACAACAACAACCAACAACAGGGATACAACCAGCGCCCCAGCGGCAACTATGGTGCCCCAGGCAGGCGTTGTAAAGTGGCAGGGCTAGAAAGGGGGTTCTCTTGTGGGTACCGAGTAACTGCGAGGCGTCGTACCAAGGGCCATGTGACGTTGGAGGATTACAAGTCTTTTGCGTAGTGTTTTCAGACTAAGTCGGGAGAGTATCAGTTCCACCCCCGCGGTCATCTCAAGCAGTCAGACAGTGTCAGCATTCCTCCGGGATAATCAAAAAGTTCAGCCGAAATACTGATGGATACCGTGTTTGCGGACGCGTGGAAAGCGGTTTTGATTAATTTTATAGAAATCAACCGGAGAATACGGCAGTTTTTATATTAAAAAAAAGTTTTTTTGAAGAAAAGTATTGCTTCCTCGTTCAAGTTCACCAACGAGATTCCCCACTTGTCCATGGTGGAATAGGTTTTTTTTATGTTCATTCAGCCGATCATCGCAGAATACGTTTTCTTTCTCCGTTCAGAAAAGAGAAGGGAACGACTTGAAACATTGTGATATTCGAATCTTTGCTTCCCTCTTGAAAGGTTCCTCTGTTCGGAAAAAATGGAACGATTTATTTTCTGTTGCTATGCACCGGTACACGGATTGTTTCACGCATTGATCTTGAGGAGCAATAAATGAGTTTTTTTCAAATACTGCATGAGTTTTGATGATTCGTGTTATATAGGTATCCTGTATTATGCTAGAAGCAGACGAGCTCTGCTTTTAGCATGCAAACTACAAGGCCTCCGACGAGGCCTTATTCCTTATTGTATAGAGTTTGCAAGGCATGGGGCAGTTATTATGGCAGATGCCCTTCAAGAAAGCATCCGTTCAAACAGCTCTTAGACGATTAAAAATTAAGCTGTTAATTTAAGCTTGGCTGCAGATTATCATTAGTTTTCTTTAAGGCTTTAAACTGATCTTTTTGGAGCACGGAGATTGAAGATGATTTGCAAGTTTGCTGATCAATTTTTGTGAAATTAATTTTTTGAATATTTGGTCAAAATGTCTTTGAAGATTGCTGTTTGCTTTTGGTTGCATTGATCAGATATTGAAACTTTTTAGATTGAAAACTATCAAAAATGACCATTTCAAATAAAAATAAAAAGCCATAATAATTAGAACATTAACTGGTGTATAGAAGCAATATACAGTACGTGACTACGACAAGTCCAGGAAATTGGCATCTTGCCAAGACCAAATGAACCTGGTCAACCTTCACATTTCATGACATTCTGCTGGTTTAATACAATTGTGTGTTTCTGTAATTCTGGAAAACGTGTTCTCTGGCACTCCCTCATTCCACCCTACATCCCGACAAAGCCTGCCCAAAAAGAGCGAATATCCTGAAAAAACAGAATTACCCAAAATTATTCGGAGTTGTTCAAGGATTGAAAAGAAAAAAAACTTTATCGAAGCTCCCGTGATCTTCAAACCATCTGAATTTCTATAAAATTGTATAGATCACATTACTTCAACCTGAATGTAAACTTTAGCAGCCTTTTTCCCACTTCTATGTGTATAGGGGTACACACTTTTCGTTCTCAACAAAATCAATTGGCGACCTGCAATCTTATATACATTGAAATTTTAAAAATGATTGCGTTCATCAACAAAAAACATACAGTACTCCATTGCTTGCAAGAGAAAGAATGCGCAAGGCATAACGGAATGTCCTCTAAAAAATCCCTGTTCCCGATTTTGTGACGTTTCAATGGAAAATTCGGAGTTTCAGAACCCACGATCTGGTTCTAAGAAATATATATGCAGTATATCAGAAGCCCATATCCTGCCATTCACACTACAACCCAAAATGAAAATTCAAAAATTTATTACATACCTATGCAATAATTTTATGAAATCGGACGGGAAGCGTTCTCGCTCCAGCAGAAAACGGAAATAAGGGATTTAAAATAAATTCATGCAAATGCGGATGTGGAAACAAGGCAAGTGTCGACGAGACACACGTCACTTATTGTAAGCTGAGTTCGTATACTGCTAAAAAAAAAGGACAAAAAGGGATTCTTGAAAGTAACCAGTACAATCTCCGAAATTTCTTCGACATAACTACAGTAAAATCCCCGGATTTTCAAATAAATAATTTCTAAAATAATTCTTGAAAACAATTGATATTTCGGAACATTTTCTGCTCTGTACCCCGTTCGGATACCTAGCTGCGACGTCATGCATATGTTGACGTCAGCTCACACCCGACTCGAATTCAACGAGATTACCGTCAATTTAGGACAATTATATACCAAATGAGACCAACTCTCAGGCTTTATAATTTGAGACCATATCATCATGTGCCAAACATTGTGAGCAGACGCGTCGTCTTGGCTGAGGATACCTTAACATACGAGCTCAACGTGTGTTGTTGAATTATGGCGGGTGTGAGGAAATCATTTTCAGAAATATATGAAGATGTCACTAGTAACGTGATGAGAAGCAGTACCTGCTGTTCGGAGAGAGAGTTAGGAGTCTGGTTCCCTCCAACTAGGATAGATAGAGACTGGCTATTACATTACAGACTTGATGAAATATTACAGCAATATTTTCATTAAACAATTGTAATGCGTAAATATTCAATATTTTCAGTGTTCAATACTTAACACCAGCTGCAAGAATAGTCAGAAACCAAGAGTTCAAAGCTGAAAAGACAAGGAATTCCAAAAAAACCTTCCCAAGACAAAAACTATACTAGCAGCCACATATTCCCTGCAACTTCAATTTTTTGAGCGGACGGGATCCATAGACGGGTAGCACGACTTCAAGCAAAAATCTTTGGCAGCCAGGCAATTGAGCCATAAGCCATTCCGAGATTTCCTGTTAAAGGGCTGGGTTGGTCAGCTTATCTGATCAGATTTTTAAAAATTGCATGTAAGAAATTGTATTGGCGTTTTGAACATTGGCACTAGTTAATTTGAGGAGAGCCAACCGTGAATTTCAAGAGATTGCGCACAATCCTTGTGAATGCTGTGCTGTAAGTGTGAAGAACTTACTTTTTTATTGCAGTTGTTCGTTTGTCACCTTTGTCACGTTGTGGAAGGAAGTGTGTCTGGGAATAAGTGGGTGCCGAAGGTTTCTGTGTGCCTTGGAGAATTTTGAAATGATGGGACGTGCAGTAATGCTGAGGTTGTGCTGATCTGTACTTGGAGTGCCCACGTGAACATTGAAGAGAGCTAGGTTGAGATTGTGCTGTAGAACCTGAATGCTCCACTGGATATCGATATGTTCAACCTTCTCTCTTCCGCGCTGCAGAGTGCGGTTGAAACGGTAAGTTGACGTTTTCTCCGAGAATCTCTCCATGGGATATCTGTATACCGCAAGTCTTGAATGAGCAGGTCGCACCTTCTGCTCCTGTCACTGAAGATCTGAAGTACCACTGGAGGAAAATAACTCACTTCTACGCCACACATACCGCATCTAATTTTACTGATCGCGTCGAAACAACGACTGTACCCACGCATCTCAGAGAGATACTCCTTGTACGTGTAACTTGTTTGCTATGTTTTCTGATGGTTAATAGTCCTTGTGTGTAGCTACTAGTCGAAGAGCATGCTGAAATCTTAATCCAAGGTGGAGGAAAAGAAGAAACTGGGAGTCAGACGGAACCTGGACCATGCATGGAAACGGTGTTGGAAAATAGAATGTTCGGGAAACTCGCGCAACGAGCCCGTGACGATTGGCCATCAGGTTTCAAGTGTCACGTGTTGAAATTTTTCATCGAGTTGTTGGATATTGGGATACCTGCATCACTATTGCCTCACAAAGCCATCTTCGGTCCGCTTATGGTGAACACTCATTTTCTCCTGTGTATTCGAAAATTTGAAAGTTCTGATATCAAATTTTTCCTCTAGGAAACTATTCAAGTTTGCGGCGAAACAAATGCTTCCCCGTATGAGAAGGAAGAGCTAGAGTTTTTGAAGGCTATGTCTCTGAAGTTGAAACGATTTTCGGACTTGGCCCCCTGCTTTTTGATTCCGTTGAATGCGGACTCCGAAAATCCGCAAGAGGAATCGAAAGTCGTTGATCCCGAAAATGCCTACTTTCCGATAGTTCGTTCGTTTCTCTGTCTCATGCTCAGTGCCGTAAGTCCCGAATTTGAAATTTTATGATATTGAAGATGTCTAGGTATCAATTTTTTCCAGGACTATTGGATTTCTTTAGAAGCCTCTCACGCATTGCTCGAGTTCGCATCCTGTTTGGATGATTGGCTGTGTCCAGCTCTTGTCGCCCCGGTTCATGTTACATTCCCAGAACAACGGAAATGTTGCACGTCGTTGCCTGAATTTCTGATAGAACGTATGGTTGAAAGTTTCGTCGAATTGCCCAAAAATCTGGATCCGGATAAACTGGAAGAATCCAATTGGAGGTTAGGGTTTTTTCCGTGGTCTTATCTTGTTGATTATATTCTTTTCTCACGCTTTGTTCTCTCACCGGGCCATGGCATTTCACCTTTTTTCGGTTGCAGTCAATTGAGTTATTGTCCCGAAGGGGTGATTGACACTGTTTCGTCTTTTCCTGTTTATGAAAGTACTGGTGGTTTTGACGTTTTTGCTCCTTTTAGTTGTTGTAAATTGATGCACACTGCAGCAAGTCACTGTACAGCGAATCTTCTAGAGTGGTGGATTTTCGTTGAGGTCGTGGTCAGATTCCGTTAGAGAAGGTGTTGGAGGTAATTTGCATCATTTTCTCCGACTCAAACACAAATTTGGTTATCTGAATCCAGGTCATTGTTTTATTCGCACTTCGAACGGCTTCTGGTGTGTGGGAATAAGTCGGGAATTTTTTGTTTCGGAATTGGGGCAGGGTTCAGTGTTCCTTGAAGGAAAAAGTAGAAAATGATCATCGATAACTTCTTGCGTGATGACAGAAATGCCTGCAATTTTTGGTGATCGGGAATCCGGGAGTAGGTTTTATAGGCGTTTACCGTATTTTTATTCCATTGTATTTACGCGATAATTTAGACTCCATCTGAACTTATCGAGGCGATTGTCTGATCTTTGCGAAAATGCGATGTCAAATAAACTACCGCTCAAAATTACTCTAAAAAGACTGCTTTTGTCTCTTTTAATGACCTTTATAAACCGCTTTGCGTTTGCTAACCGATCTTTCGTCTCGTTTGCGCTACCCTAAGTCCAAAGACTCAGAGTCGAGCCAGAAGACGAAGATTGGCTGCAGGATTTGAAGCATTTAGGGGTCAAAGCCAAGAACGTTTGGGAAACAGTGGATACCACTGTGACCAAAGTTGTAGACGACGCGCTGGGAGCCGCGGGTCAGTCGGCAAATCGGATCGCGAAAGAAGCGTTTGATTTCCTCAGTCGAGGCTTTCAACAATTGCAGTTTGAGTTGTGAGTTTTTTTTAAAGTATACTTTAAGGAGGGACCTAAAGCAGTAATACCCCTATGAAGAGAACCGAAGGTAGCCGACGTAATTGTGCAGACGAGCCGGAACCCAACATACGATAATTACGACAGAAGAAGTAGGCAAGCTGCTTCGCTTTCTTCTTCGAGTGCTCTTGAAAACGTCCCTTGATCCCGTCGCTGTTTATTTTTTTCCGTCAACATCACGAAATATTTTCTGAATTCTCGTCGGTGAAATTACAGTAGTGCCCAGATAATGAACACCTCTCGTAATGGCTTGTTGCTCAATTGTCTGGCTACCACCGATTTTCGCTTCACATCCTGCTACCTTTCTATGGATCATCAGTCTGCATGAAAAAGTGACGAAGCGTCAACAAATTGAAGTTGCTGGGGGAAATGTGGCTGCTAGCATATTTTTTTTTTTTATGCTGGGAAGCCTTTTTTTGGAATTTTTTTTTTAACCTTCGTTCTCTTGGTTTCTGATTATTCTTGCTGCCGGTGTTTCGCATTTTATGTTGAAAATATTGTATATTTATGTATGAATTGTTGAACGAAAATGTTGAGGGATCTGTTTTGTAATAGACATTCCGTAATACTCAGTTGAGGCAATTTTCCAGGGCCTGGAACCGATTAGCTTTTCTGTGTGATTTTACATCGTCCATTCGTAAAAATTGCTCAAAATTTGATTAGGTCAGTTGACTTGAATCAATATGTCTGTAGTTTGGAAAGGTAACTCTAAACGGCTGAGTTTTAATTTTTTCGATGGTATGCGAACATTTTCCAATGTTGGAATAAAATGGTTAAATGTATTTTATTTTGTGAATCGTTTACATAGAATAGCTGCAAAGATTTTGAAGAATTCTTGAAAGAAATCAAAAATTTTGTTTTGAATCAAGGGTTCAGAGATTCTGGAAAATTTTTTTTTCAAATTCGATTTTTCACATCTCTGTAAATTTGTCGTAAAAATAATAATTTTTAATTTTCTAGATTCACCTAGTTGAACCGTATACAGTATTTTCGATGTCCTCCGTCGTAGAATTGTTGAAGTGTTCGTCGACGCGATTACTCATTTTGAAATTGAGTAATGTTCTGTATTGTGTACATACTTCTCCTTTATTTTTTCTGAAGAGACTTGAAAGAAGCTCCCGACGATGAAGATGTTCCGGTTTCTGACGAACCCATGGAATCCCCGAGTCACGTATTGGAACCCACGAGTCGAAAAGTGCTTTCGTATTTGTCTCGACTGGACTTGGCTGATGTCTTCGCAGCTTCCACTCCTTCCTTGGCAGCGAAGCAAATTGGATCGTGTTTTGGCGTAACGTTTTTGCGGGATGCTATTGAACGGCGTTTGTTTGATCCTGATCCAGCAGTTGCTTTACTGGCAACCTCGCATTTGACAAAGGTTGTGCAGCAGGTATCTTCTGGAGTTTTGTTGAAAGGTGAGAATTTGAAGTTTTGGTCGTTTTTTCGGTGATTGATGACTAAATTTAGTTAGTTCACGTGGCAAGTATTTCGCAGGAAGAATTTTCCTAGCGAAATTTTCAGTGTGTCGAGAGGATATTAATCAAGAAAAAAATATAACCCACGACGAAACACGCGGTTTTGGTGTCTTCTTCTGCAAACATTGGTTTTCTAATTTTATTTTTAATTTTTTCGGTTGTGGGATGACGAGTTTAACTGAACGAGTTTAAGTGGATGATTCCCATTACCTCCCTCGAATTGTGCATAGGTCATGAGACGCAATTTTTTAATTCTCTATGTATCTCTCATGTGAGATCATTAATGCATCCATTCGTCAAAGACCGGTAAAAGGGTTTATTATCTGAAAATTAAAACTCTATATTTTTAAAAAAGATATGTTCAAACTGGTTCTGAGTCACGACTGCCGAGAAATCTCCATTTTTCTCTATTTTTTTGTAATCCATTGTTCGAATGTCAGAATAACTAGGAGGCGTCGCGTGAATTCCAGACCTGATTGAAGATACCAATTTGAACCAGACAAACATTCCTCAAACCAAATACCGAACGTCATTTGCCGTGTACTGTAGCTTAAAATATAACAAAAGAAATTGAGTTGAGGCAACATGTATATGATCTTGAGTAAAATTGTAGTCTTGAGATACGACACAAAGAAACGAGCTGGTGAAGGAATTTGAAATTACGGTACATATTTCAAGTGACCTATGCCTAAGAAATGAGCGCCAAAGACCTTTAATACTTCAAAGAAGGTACATTATTATTTAAATTTTACATTTTTTACAGAAATCTCCGATTGGCTGCTTGGCGCGAACAGACTGCCTGAAATACGTGGAAAACCATGTCATCTATTGAAAGCTCTCCTGCTCGAACGTTGTCGTCAGAGCGAAGATATCGCCCTTGCGCTTGAGACGTTGAGACTTTTCGAAGTAAGCTTCTGACTTTTCCTCCAATGGCGAGTTACAACTTTTGGCAAGATTTCGAATCTTTGAAAATGTTGCATTCAAGGTGTTGCTGCAGAAGCCGTGCGAGGACATAATTTTCAATCTCGTCCTCGCCAATTTGGTCGACAGACGTTACGTTAATGTGGATAAGCTCATGAATCAGTGTTCGTCTTGGAGTGACGAAGAAGAGGAGAGAGAGAAGAAACGAGCGGAAAACGGCGCCTTTTCGCCGAATTCCACTCCACGAAGCAGAACATTGGCACCAACAAAAATTCAAAGGATTGTGAACGAGTGAGTTTTCTTTCTCTATCTTACGATGCTAGTATTTTTGTACGAAATATCAGTGCCCGGGTATATTATTTTCTTGAAATAACCGTGTTTGGAAAGCTATGAATGCGTGAACTTGTAGAAGATCTGGATCTTACCCCGGAAAAATGCTCTTTTTTCGTGATTCACTTCGTCATCACTGTGGCGCCCATCATCTGTTTATATTTTTCACGTTTTCAGAATATTTTTGTAAAATTTGCTAACGTATTAGCATCGTTGATAGTAGAATGATTTAATTAATTTAAAATTTCGGGAGAAAAAATGTGAAGATGGAAATCGATCCAGATAATTTTTTGGAATGAGCAGGACATCTACACCTCTCAACTTTCGGATGAATTTTATCAGCGGTGACGGAAGTTGAATGCTCGTTGGGATCAGTAATGCTGTGCATGTATTTTCGTTGAGTTGAACGATTCATGCGAAACCTATCTGATATTCCAGATAGCTAAGTCGAACTTTGTCGTCCGGAGACCTGAAAAACCTGTCCTATTTACCGTACTTGAATATAACTCGTTTTTCAGTGCTCGAAAAGTTCAAAGCGCTTATGCGAAAGTCGTATTTGTTGATGACAGGCTATATTCTCGCGTCAATGGCCTTTAGCCTACACAATGATCTGACTAAAACTTTCAAAAAGCGATAAAGGTGATCTCAATTTGGAATTTTGTGAAATATTCCGAGATCACAGGACGTGGGATATTCACTTATATCGGGAACTGCTGAGAATCGACAAATCTTGCCGCTTTTGAGTAAAATCGACAGATCTTTCAATTCTGTTTAGCCTTTTTTATTCTGATTCAACAGTTTCGTTTCATTTCCGTGTCTTGAAGTTTGTTGATGTATAGTAGAGTATTATATCGTGTATTATAATGGATGTTGCTTTAAATTCCGCTGAGTATCATTAGTCCCCGAAATTTACGATGAGGTCCGTTTCCCCATCATGTTGACATATTTTACTCTTCAGATTTCTCGACATGGTGCCCGATTGTCTTCGTTCATCTGGCGAAGATGACGCCGGTCCTGCTGGTGCAACTTACGAACAATACCTCGCTGATGCACATCGACAAACAAGGAATGCCTTGTCCCAGTGTCGCAGTTTTGCATGGCCAAGAGAAGCAACGAGTAATGCAGAAGACTCAAAAACGACTGTTCGAGAACACGACGAAAACTCGAGTTCCGACTCACGTCCGGAATCTGATCGTTCTTTATCCGGCGCAGCGTGTGACAAGTCTCCGTTCTACGAAGGCAGCTTCCTGGAAATGATTTTGGACCGGTTTGATAACATATTGGATCAGGTGAGAATCTTTTGTTACGTCTTTCCAACGCTTTTTTTGTTAGTTGACGATCGTGGAGATTTTTTGCTGATTCTCTGATGCGAGAGGTGCTGAATTTCCGCGTGAACCTTATGATAAAATAATTCTTATAGAGAAGAAATGTATTCAAAAATGTTTTGGAAGTCTAAAAGTTAATACGGTTTGTTGTACAGACAATGTACTGAAAAAAAACCAAAGCTCATCGAGTTATCTTGTGAATATATTTCTACTTGAAATTAATATTTGATTGAATCCCGATTTTTACTGCAACTAAGGAATCAAAACAATCTGTTCGAAAAATTTCGAAGTTCGCATTGTAATATTGTCATTTTACATACGAGGCCCCAGAAATTAATTCAATCCGTAGAAAATATGTCAAGAGATTATCATTTTCATGATGATGGTGATTCATGAGCCTGTGAACGACATTAATTTGATCAACCGGTGCAGTTGATGTTTTTTTATCAACTGCGCATCTAAGTTGTTGACCCCTGTGATCTGACTCTGAGTCAGTGAGTATGCCTTATTTTAGATATAATTGTAAATTACGGTAATCACGTTGCATTCTTGTGAAGTGTGAGCTTAGGCAACATATTGAAGACGTCGCGAGTATTTGAACGGGATACAGAGCAGAAAATGTTCCGAAATATCAATTTGTTTTCAAGAATTATTTTAAACATTATTTATTTAAAAATCCGGAGGGTTTTACTGCAGTTCTGTCGAAGGAATTTCGGAGATTGTGGTTACTTTCAAGAATCCCATTTTTGTCTGAAAAAAAATCGGCATGCTTGAGTCGAATGTTCACTGCACACAGAACAGCTGTGACCGGAGCGAAGGTGTAGGCGTAAACGTACTTAAAGAAAACTTAGGGAATAACGGCCAAAGATGACCTCACTCTACGCTTCCCGTCCTATTACATAAAATTATTGATGAGGTATGTGTTAACTTTTTGAATTTTAATTTTGGATCAGAGTGTGAATGAGTTCCTTTTTTTTTTTTTAGATCCAGATCGTGGGATCTGAAGCCCCCTTAAAGGTAGCGGTGAACACAGTTTGGGCAACGTGGGACGAAAGCCTCCTCTGGTCGTAAATGCAGTGCTTCAGCCTTTGACTCACTCAAAAGACCTAAAAAGCTCTTCTAAGGTAACGTAAAAAATTGGGTCAAGATACTGTAAAGTCTTGCGCATTCTTTCTCAGCGAGCAATGGAGTATTGAATTATTTTTAACGCGATCATATTTTTGTATTATTCATGTATTTATACGATTGTAGGTCGCTCATTTATTTAAACTTGAAAATAAAAACTGTGTAGATCCCCTAGAAATGGGAAAAACGCTGCTATCGTTCATATGCGTGTAAAAGTGATGTGATCTGTACAATTTTATAGAAATCCAGATGGTTCGTGGATCACTTGAGTTTAGATGAAGAATTTGTAATCTTTGAATGACCCTGAAAAAGTCTTGGTAATCTCTTGGTTTTTGCAGGATATGTATTCGCTTTTTTTTAACTGACTATCTCGTAACATCGACGTGATCAGGAGTGTAGGATGCATTATATTTTTGCATTTATTTTTAGTAGACGAGTGCGGCTTACATCCATGTAGATCAATTTTTTTATGTTAACTTATTGAAAAGTCGCGACCGTTCGTACCTAGGGACAAGCTTCCTCGATAACACCACCTTCTTAAAACGTTTCTCGAACCACGCGATCGTAAACGGTTCATGGTTGTTACAGACACGATTGTTACTTAAGTCGATTTCCCTGTGAGAGGAAGACTGATTCAGGAATCCCTTCGGAAGGTTACGTGAAGAAGTACACTGACGGATTTGTCCTGTAAATTTTGTGATGTATCGAAATCACCTGGGGAAAACAATTTTTCAAGAAGTGATTCAAGCACAATTCTAGTCTCCATATGTTGCCTTGACGTGAAGACAGGAGTGAATCGATTTTTTGTTTCGTTTTGGTTTTTTTGTTTTTGCTGTGCACACGAGGAACTGTTACGCACTAGAGGGAACTATTTTTGTTGTGGTTTCAAGCATTTGTTTGGAAGTGGAAATGTTTTGTTTCGTTTCTGTCTTGAATTGAATTTCGACCCGGATGTTCTCTGAAATGGATCTCCGTTTTGTCATCGTCAAATTAATGAGGTTTCGTAAATTCGGTTTTTCTTCAGATTTTTTTTTTACGATGTCGCTTACGTGCGATGAGTTGTCGAACTTCTTGATTCTGAATTATGCGATTTCGGAAACGGACGTGCTTCTGATATTAACGAAGTGCCAACGTCAATTAGCTCTTCGACCTTTGCTGAACCGGAATGTGGAAGTTTGGTATGTGGTTTCTATTCCTCAACGAACCATTGCATTCGTATTCATTCTTATTATAATATTTCAGTCAATTCCTACTGGAGACCTTGTACCAGACCACCGATGATATTTTACACAAAATCGTCTGGTTATGTTATTCACTACGAAACTCTTTTCTTCTTCTTAGAGATCAGGTCCTTTGCTTTCGCCACTGGCTGCTCTTCAATTTAAATAGCTCTGAAGTAGCAGAGCTCCTTTCGTACTTCGACAAGCTGAAGACCTCGGAGGAAGAACTGAAAGACCTCGGCAAAGCTGTTGCATCTGCGAAAGTAAGCTAAAGTTTTGTGCAACACTTCTTCACATCGCAGTATTTAGTCTGCCTACTGATTCAGCGATTACATTTTTCTGTGCAAAATCCTAACGAAAAATCTTTCTGGCATCAAACTTTTGCTAGAGGTGAACTGAATTTCTTACTTTTAATTAAATTGGCATCGTAGTTTTGCGTCTTGTCCGTATGAGGGAAATTATAAGGACAAATAAATCTTGAGGGAAATTTTGATTCTTCCAACGTTCGACACAAGGCTGTCATCAGTAAACTGATTTTGAATTGTTTTTCTTGGATTCCATGAATGTAGAGTAAATTCAGGATATTGGTTTTAACATCTTAGGTCAAGTTTCAATGATATCGCCTTTTTTTCAGGACAATGTGCATGACACGGAGATTCAGATCAAAGCAGAAGAGATGTACAACCATCAGCTGCTCGACGTCACTGTGCAGTTTGAACGACGTCGGATTGCCAATCTAGAAGCAGCTCAGGCGCGGGAATCAGAAGAGATCTGTCAAAAAATCCGGGAAGAAAATCACAATCACGTGCTATCTGTTCAATTTTTGCAAGATTTCTTGAAGGTATGCTTCCTAGTACATGTTCAATTGCGATTATATGTACATTATATTATTATTGAACACAAAGACTTTGGAGCAACAAACTCTGGAATGGAAAGCAAAATACAACCGGAACACTGAAATGATGAAGAAAGAAATAGCCTTGATGACAAACAAAAGGGTCGGATATGAAGAAAATTATCAAGAGCTTGTTGCGCTGGTGAGTTCTTGTTTTTAGTCTTTTGATTGCTAGTTTGTTTCGGGCCTCAAAACTAAATTCTTTGAAGCTATGAGAGTTTTTTCATCTGTTTTAAGCTGAATAGCTTGAAAGTTCCGTTCGTAAGCCATGAAAAAATGTATGTAATTACCAAATACACGTACGGTATATTTTTTTTAACGCAACAATATTCAGGAGGTGGTCAATATTGGAATTTATGCCAAGCGTAACAAGGAATAAAAAAAGACAAATTTTACGAGAATTCGCAGAAATTGTTAGCTAGAATCCACTTTTCTTACATCAGCTTCAATTTTGTAAAGCAAGATCTTTTTTTCTGTTGCTTTCGTTCATTCCGAGTAGAGCCCACTATCAGATTAAAAAACCTGCTTCTAACTCGCCAGAGTTTTTTGTGCAAAAAATCCATCTTGAGTCAATTTTTTTGAGTAACATATTTTAAATTAATCGACCTTCTTTCTTGTCGGCAACATAGTCGTATGCTTCGTCTCTTCCTTGCTCGGCTCGTCCTTTTTGACTAAGACTAGTTTGCGCTCTTTCGGCGACACTTCTAAGTTCGAACCACCGCACCGGTTATGGTGCGGAAAAAACTTGGTCCGTACAAACCGAAGAAAGCCAAGTCTAGAAAGAAGCAAGCAGCTGCTGCTTCCGCATCTGTGAATGATGCCTTGCCGGAAGGTAAGGTTGATGAAAAGACCGCTGCTCCAAAACCTGTCCAGTCGAAACCGGTTCCCAAGAAGACAAAACCGCACAAATGATAGTTTTTTTTTTTTTCGGAGTGATGGTTCAAGCAGTTCCATAAACTAAACGACAACTTTAAAACCCTCTGAAGCAACAGCTCATAGAAACTTCTAGAGTAAACCATTTAATGTTATACTCAAGGTATAAGGTACTCCCACCGAAAAAACTCAGCTTGAAAGTTTTGAAATTTAATGAAGGAATTCATTTCATCATCGAGTTTTCGAGTTCCTCGAAAATAAAATTGTGTTCGACTTAAATTTCAAGAAAAAAATAATCTTATGCATTGTTAATGATTCGATGTGGTTTTTTATTGTTGTTGGGATATTTCGACACGTGATCAAGTAGTTGTTTATTCGATTCACTTTCGTTACTTGGCGTACTGCCGCAGTCATTCGGTTCAGGTATCTCATTTGAAACGTTGCCGTAATATTGTGTTCCAAAAAATGTTGAAGCTTGGGAAAAAAAAATCGTGATGTATTGAACGATCCCGTCCGTCGTGAATTGTTCGTGTTCTTCCGGAATGAAATTGTGTTCAAGTTCCGTTATTGTTGTTTGAATTAATTGGATCTTTCGTGCGATACTAGACCCAGAAACAAATTGATGTCTCAAAAATTCTTGAGCATGTACCTAAAATATGGAAGTAAATTAAAAGTGTGTTCGGGACAATTTTCTATCAAACTGCGAGAGGTAATCGTGTAAAATTTTGTGGTACAGTATCTTCAAGAAAATCATTTTTATTTTTATATTGTCTTTTGATTATTGGTGAATAATTCACGCTAGATTCTCCGGGAATAACCCAAAAATTTACCAACTTCATTTCTAAAGTTCCGAAAGCCAGACCTTCAATATTGTCCTTTTCATCCTGCAGTGAACTGAAAAGAATTGACGGTTTTGTGCATCATTTCCCGGCATTGTTTTGAAATTGAAAAACTAGTCGCTCTATTGAATATTTTTTTGGAATTTTATATTTCTCATCATGCCGTCAGATGAAAAACTACTGTATCTAAAAGTGTGTATTTGTAGAAAACCCAAACCTGTTTTCATTTTCAATAAGAAATCGTAGTGATGAAAATATATATTCAAGATTGCGTAGAGTTTCGACAACCCTTCTGTTTCAAATATTCCTTCTGTTCTGGGTCTATTATCGCGTGGATCAGCCATCAGTGCCTTGAGAATTATTTTACAAGAAGTCTCGGGAGTATGTGTTGAAGACGTGATTTCCTGATTGCAGGTGTTGACGTGTGTGTTGCTTATTTCAATGTTTCAAATAAAATAAAGATGAAGTGACATGTAACTGGATCAGCCAGCGCTGAGCCATGACTGCGCTGGAGAAGAGCGGCATAGTCGAAGTCTGGGCCCTGGACCAACAGTTGTACGTGGGAGACGCGATTTTGTCGGTGAATGGAGAAGATTTGAAGGATGCGACGCATGATGACGCGGTTGGGGCATTGAAACGTGCCGGAAAAGTTGTAGAACTTGAAGGTTTGTTTCTTTGCAAGAAAAAAAAAACTATGATTTTCATGCATTAAAATCTCGTAAAAAATACCGTTAAAACAACTTTATCGAAGTACCGTACTATATTTTTTTTCAAGTCCTGGCATAAAGCTTATAGAGTACTTGTTAAGCAATATTTTTATAACAAAATTCCCAATCCCAGTACATAACATAAATTTTTGAAGAAAGTTCAATAGATTCTCAAGGTAGAAATTTCTTCATGGAAGGCGGTCAAAGTCTGCAATTTCAACAAAATCGTTGAGGAGACATGTGTGACACAGTTTGAGTCGAAGAAGAAGTTGATGCAATTATTTTTTTCTTCCTTTTTTGCAGTCAAGTACTTGAAAGAAGTGACGCCGTTTTTCAAGAAAACGTCGCTTTTGCGAGAAATCGGCTGGGAACTGCAGCGCGGATTTCTCGGCATGGATTTATCGTCTCCAACAAAGTCTTCGTTGCATCCATCTTTGGCTGGGATGAGAAGTGTCCCACTCATGTTGAGCTTCCTCGCTCGGAATCTGAAGAAACCTGATCCAGGTATTTTAATTCATTTATCGATGCATATGCGATTTACTGCTTGTCTAGTATGCTTTCTTGACGAACGGTGTTGAACTTTAAACGGGCAACGCGTTTATTTTTCATTAGCATGTGCTTGCCGCTTGTTTTCCTCTGCCTTCGATGAACGACGTGTCAGGAAGTGCGTCACGTTATCTTCTGTTGAATCCCCAGCTTCTTGTTTTTGTCCAACTCGTCTTGTTCGCAAAAACCGGTCCGTCTTCTGTGGCCCAGAACTTGAATTTCTTGATATTGAGTGTGTTGAGAAGTTTTGTAAATTATTGCTTTTGGCAGAAGGGTGGAAACTCTTCCTTCGTTGCCCTTCTGATTTCGTGGAAAGTGCACGCGAAACCTCACGAATACTTACCCCATTTTGAAGCTTACTGGAAATTTTCTTTTCATAAAGCCTGAACGTCACTGTAGATGGTCGCGGCTCGGTCAAAGAATACCACTAACTTATCCTCTATAATTAGTAGACTTAACACCTATTCTCGATTGTTTGTGTTTTTTTCAAACGTTGAATGTTTCACAGACGTGTTTCATCGCCGTTCGATGCTTTGCATGAAGATCTCGAATCCGAGGGTTGATTCTGGGGATGAATCCTTTCACTGTTTTTGGCTTCTATTATGTTTTTTAGTTATACGATTTTTCATTTGTTTTCAGAAAACCGGACAGTTGAAGTTCATTCGCCGGATGGGCTGCGTTGTTGCATACTGCGAGCGTCATCTCCGCAAGAAGCGTCTTCTTGGTTCAACGCCATTCATGCTGCGCAAAGCGTTCTCGTTAATCGCGCATTAGCTGAAGTGAATAATTGCGAACCGCTTGATAAACTCATGCTTCGAGGGGATGAAGTCAGGTCCATGGGGTGGCTTTGTCGTCGAGCAGAAGATCCAGAACGGTATGTGCTGAAATCTGAGTTTGCATGTNGTGTGTTCGGGACAATTTTCTATCAAACTGCGAGAGGTAATCGTGTAAAATTTTGTGGTACAGTATCTTCAAGAAAATCATTTTTATTTTTATATTGTCTTTTGATTATTGGTGAATAATTCACGCTAGATTCTCCGGGAATAACCCAAAAATTTACCAACTTCATTTCTAAAGTTCCGAAAGCCAGACCTTCAATATTGTCCTTTTCATCCTGCAGTGAACTGAAAAGAATTGACGGTTTTGTGCATCATTTCCCGGCATTGTTTTGAAATTGAAAAACTAGTCGCTCTATTGAATATTTTTTTGGAATTTTATATTTCTCATCATGCCGTCAGATGAAAAACTACTGTATCTAAAAGTGTGTATTTGTAGAAAACCCAAACCTGTTTTCATTTTCAATAAGAAATCGTAGTGATGAAAATATATATTCAAGATTGCGTAGAGTTTCGACAACCCTTCTGTTTCAAATATTCCTTCTGTTCTGGGTCTATTATCGCGTGGATCAGCCATCAGTGCCTTGAGAATTATTTTACAAGAAGTCTCGGGAGTATGTGTTGAAGACGTGATTTCCTGATTGCAGGTGTTGACGTGTGTGTTGCTTATTTCAATGTTTCAAATAAAATAAAGATGAAGTGACATGTAACTGGATCAGCCAGCGCTGAGCCATGACTGCGCTGGAGAAGAGCGGCATAGTCGAAGTCTGGGCCCTGGACCAATGGCACGAATCGTTCGTGACCCTCGAAAGCGAATTCTTGGTCATCTCGCTCCAAGACTCCGCCGTGCAAAACGGGTCAGGCAGCGGCAATGACTCGTCTTCCCTCGCGTCCCCGAACGGCACGGAAAGTGGCGCCTATGAAGCGCCGCCGGACGCCATTGCCAACGAAAAGCGAGTCGTCCGTGTGGTTAAGAGCGAGAAAAGCGGCTTGGGCATTTCTATTAAAGGAGGCAAGGAAAACAGAATGCCAATTTTGATCTCCAAGATTTTCAAGGGCATGTCTGCGGACCAGACGGATGTCAACATGCACCCTCTGCGCTAAAACAGCCACTTACCTCTTCTAAACTTCCTACGCTGCGTACTACTGCGCCAACCCCGTAACTTTGCACGGCCTTTTCAACATCTTGAACTTCCAAACAAAGAAAGCAAAAATAAAAAAAACTATGATTTTCATGCATTAAAATCTCGTTAAAAAATACCGGTACAACATTTTTAACGGACTACCGTAATACATTTTTTCTCAAGCCCTGGCATAAGGCTTATCGAGTACTTGTTGAGCAATCTTTTTATAACAAAATTCCCAATCCCAGTACGTAACATACATTTTTAAAGAAAGTTCAATAGTTCGTCAAGTTGGAAATTTTCTGGCGGAAGGCGGTCACAGTCTGAAATTTCAACAAAATCGTTGAGGAGACATGTGTGACACAGTTTGAGTCGAAGAAGAATTTGATGCAATTATTTTTTTCTCCCTTTTTTGCAGTCAAGTACTTGAAAGAAGTGACGCCGTTTTTCAAGAAAACCTCGCTTTTGAGAGAAATCGGCTGGGAACTGCAGCGCGGATTTCTCGGCATGGATTTATCGTCTCCAACAAAGTCTTCGTTGCATCCATCTTTGGCTGGGATGAGAAGTGTCCCACTCATGTTGAGCTTCCTCGCTCGGAATCTGAAGAAACCTGATCCAGGTATTTTAATTCATTTATCGATGCATATGCGATTTACTGCTTGTCTAGTATGCTTTCTTGACGAACGGTGTTGAACTTGAAACGGGCAACGCGTTTACTTTTCATTAGCATGTGCTTGCCGCTTGTTTTCCTCTGCCTTCGATGAACGACGTGTCAGGAAGTGTGTCACGTTATCTTCTGTTGGATCCCTCAGCTTCTTGTTTTTGTCTAACTCGTCTTGTTCTCAAAAACCGGTCCTTATTCTGTGGCCCAGAACTTGAATTTCTTGATATTGATTGTGTTGAGAAGTTTTGTAAATTATTGCTTTTGGCAGAAGTGTGGAAACTCTTCCTTCGTTGCCCTTCTGATTCCGTGGAAAATGCACGCGAAACCTCACGAAATGAATGGGGTAAAACTTCGAATGACCTTTAAAAGAAAAGTATTTCGGACTTGCAGTGACATCTACCAGCGCCGAGCCAGTTTCTTATGGTGATTGAATAGGAGATATTAATCATCTGAATTGTGGATATGAAGTGAATAATTGCGAACCGCTTGATAAACTCATGCTTCGAGGGGATGAAGTCAGGTCCATGGGGTGGCTTTGTCGTCGAGCAGAAGATCCAGAACGGTATGTGCTGAAATCTGAGTTTGCATGTAATATGAGTATGATTGATGACAATTAGAAAGATTTTTTGCTCTCCGTGCCTACTTCTGAAATGAATGGAGTGAAGATTGGCCATTTCGTGAATTCTGTCGTCTTGCGTGTTGAAAATTTTACTCCCCCAGATTTAAGTGCAGAGAAATTGAAAAGTTGGAAGTGTGCCTCTTGACTGAAGAAATACTATACCTTTAATCTGCCAACAAGCACCTCTCTTGAGATTTTGTGAAAAGGAAAAAATTTAATACTGTAAATCACATCTATTCTTCTCTGTGAACTCGAATCAGTGCGAGTGTCGATATCTTCTTGATTTTAAATGACATCAGTGCTTGTGAAAAATAGTTTCAATTCCTTCGTTGTGATCGTGATCTCTCGCACATATCGTTGGAGGTTATTTCTGATTTTGAAATTTTTCTATGACAGCACGTTTCTCAGCAGTTTCTGAGCAATTTTTTGGCCATTATTTCTTTGTTAAGTTGAAATTACAATCAAACCTTTGAGTCAAATTTCAAGGGACAAGCAAAGAAATTCGATTTTAGGAAATGAAATAAGCATTTTTGTTGAGGAAAATAAATAAGAATAACAGGAAATTCTGATGAGTGACAGTCTGGGCCTTAAATTGCCTTTTTATGCTGAACTTGGAGGTAAGGGTTTCTGTGCAAGATTATTCTTCCACTTCCTTTCAAAACGCATCAAGTTACATTTATATTGTTTTTTCTTTCCTGTTTCAATAATATAAGCCAAAAGGCGTCTGGAAAAGTCGACTTATGTTGGTTTGAGGGGGAAAGCCTTCGAGTTCGGGAGTTTTTTATTTCCTTGTTTCCGAAAAAATTCAGACGGGGACTTTTTTAAAATATGACGTAGTAAGGTTCGAGTTGTCGAGGTTCGACTGTTACCTTCATATTTGTTTTCCAGATCTGGAAAGGATCTTTGGAGTCCAACTTTTGTTGCCCTGACGAGGACGAATTTGCTGATGTACACCGTTGCGCCGTGGTCGATTGAAAGTTGGCCGAATCCGTCGAAGGCCTTGCCATTAGTGACGACGCGTTTAGTCAACACTTCGCCCGGTGATCACCACAATAAATTCGTCATTCGAACCGGAGTGAAAGACGGTGTGGAGACGCAAGAGTTTCGGTGTGAAACCCATCGGGACTTGGCACACTGGGCTCGAAGTCTGGTCAAGGGCAGTCATGCCGAAGCACTTGCCATGCGCGAATTTTCTTGCAGTGAGTTGTCGTTTGTCGGTTGTTTGAAGCATGCAAAATTTTGCCGACAGTCATTTGCAATTTTTTTTCTTATCCCCATTTTATTTACAGGCTTACCTCTTCTTTCTAGAGTTCAATTTTGAATCCGATGGATGCTCGCTAAATCAATATTGAATGCATTTTTCCGTGTTTTGCGAATGTTTTCAATGCCTTGCACGAAGTTTGCGAAATGATCCTTGAAGCCAATTTCTTCTTCATAGATGCACAGTTTAGAGGGATTCAAGGAAAATTGGTGATCCACTATGACCACGGATTCAGCTTTTTCGGTGACAGCGACGGGAAAAACTCTTCTAAGCCAATTTGGAGTTATGCTTTTGATCGTCTCCGGCATTCCTCCGACGATGGATTGCGATTGTTGGTTTTGCGGTTTGCTGAGGAACCTTCCCAGGATATGGTGAGCTGCGTTTTCAAGTCTTGAAAATCGAATTATTTTCTTCTTCCTCGAGACAAGACGCATCACGAGTTGTGTTGGCAAATAAATGACTAGCTTGTTTCCAGGAATAGATGATTTTTTTCTTAAGCATGAGGTTGAATTGATTTTTTTAAATATATGATTCAGACTCGGAAGGAAAAATTCTTGCGCGTAACTGGAAGATTACTTTCCTTTATTCGAAGCATTTCCAGTAAAAGCCTCGAGTTTCTATCTTGTGGGATTAGTAAAGAAGTTATATTGAAGAGAAAAAACGTTCCTTCTCTATTTTTACTCGTTTTTGAAAACTCTTCAAGTTCGTCTTCTATAGCGAAAAGCTTGACGGTTTATGTTTTCTGGAGCTTGATTTGAGTTGCTGCCCGAAACCCGAGGTTTTTCTAGTGGAGAATATTCTTCGGATTAATTTCCGTTATCCAAAGCATTTCCAGTAGAAGTCTTCTGAGTTTCTAGGTTGTGGGACCAGTAACGAGTTACATTGGGAAAATGCTTTATTTCTCTTTTTGTATTCAAATTTGAGGACATTTTAAGCTCGTCTTCTGTATCGAAAAGCTTCACGATGCTTTGTTTATATTTTCAGGAGCTTGATTTGGGTTGCTGCCCGAAACCCGTGGTTTTTCTCCTGCACACCTTCCTGTCGGCCAAAGTTTGCTCGTTGACGCAAAACTCGGGCGCTCCTGGTGCATCCTGATGTTTTCATTTTACCAAAAAAAAAAAAAAAAAACGAAAGAATACGGAAGAAGAAACTTTGAAGCAAACCGTCTTGTCTCGTGGGTCAGTGGGTGAGACGAGGAAAATCTAAAGTTACGAGTCATGTTAAGATGCAAAACAAACAAAAAAGTACAGTAATTTAGGAACGTATAGCAATTGTGTTGAAAGTTTCCCCGTGTTTTTCCTCTGAACCGTCCTTCCAAACGATGGTACCCACGTTTTATCATGCTGCTCAAATCGCCGAGGGGAAGAAGAAAGCAATTCCGTGGCTAAAGCCTTGAAATATTTATAGGGTTTGAAAAATATGGGATCCAGGTTTTCTGCATCGGTTGCGAACGTCTCGCTGAGAAAAAGTTTTGAAAGTTGCCGAGGATTTGCGTTGTTTTTTGCTTGAACAACGAAAAAAACTTGTTTGTTTCCGAGAGCAGAAAACCTGATCTAACCCAGTATGAAAGCCATATCAAAATGTCTTTTTCTCAAGGCGGAAAAAGCGTTGTGTAAATCAATGAAGGAAAAGATCCTTCTTTTCTAGAAATGGCGGAATTCAAGCATATTTTGTCCATTTAAATGCTGGGTAACATTTCGGATTCTTTGGAACGTTCTGAAAATTCGGGTATTTTGTTTTCCAGTTTCCTTGTAGCTTTTGAGGTTACCGAATTTTTTTTTTTTATAGATTTTCTGCGAACAAAACACGATGAATTTCCTGGAGTTGACTCGTAGTTACGGAGTGACTCAAATTAATTTCTGAACAATTCCCTTCTGTTCTCTTCCTTTTTAGAGAGAAGTTCATGATAGAGAAAGCACAGAGACTTATGTAGGGATTAAAATTTAATTTGCCAGATTGTTTCCTTATTTTTAATCCTGTCTCACTTTTTAATTTGACGAAACACATTAAAAAATACATTTCCCCAGAACAGATTTTCTTCTACAATATTCATTGATGAGGAACTCTGAAATGTGTCCTGCATGATTCTTTGTGTTTTCACCTTTAGTCTTGAATATCGCTGTTCATTTAAGCGATTTCGGAAGAAGGAAGACCGAAGGTATAGCAGGAGTTCTAGAATTTTCGTCTTTCAGACATAACTTGTGGCCTCGGAGTTTGTACTCTTTCTTGTTAGCGTTCTTCGTCGTTTTTTGCGCTATAAGGAAAACGAAAAGAATTGAATGTGGTACAGTACAATGTTTTCTACCATGTTCTGCTATAATTTTTTTTTTCATTTTTCTTTTACCGTGAATACGTTGTTAATACGTTTGGAGAGTTGAATGCCAGTCAGAAACAGCTGTCCTGGGTAATGTTCGATTGTGTTTAAAACGTATTTTCTCAACTTTGGAACAAGTTACGATTTACCTTCATCTGGCGGATTGAGTATTAGATTTGTTTTTGGGTTATCGAAAATTCAAAGGCCAAAAGCGTCGGACCTTCTTGAGGAATTTTTTTTCTTTGGAATGGATTTTGAAAACTAAAATTTTGAGGACAGGTCTGACGAGCCGCGCTACAGAATTTAGGGGAATTTTTAGTTACGGGAGTGATTGTTGTGGGACGGTCGAAAAAGAAAGACGTCGTGCTGTTGATCCCGTTGTATGGATTGTTTGGACATCGGTGTTGTTTTATACCCAAGTTACGTATCGAAGATACTAAACCTGGAACGTTATATTTCAGAAGCCATTGCCTTCGGGAAATTTAGATTTATGGTTTTTTTTTGTTAGTTTTTTTTTTTTTTTGGATGACATGTCCAAAGAAAATGGGGAATATTACGAGCTTCATGTTCCGGTTTTTACTGACGGCGAGCAGATGAAGAAGCCATTGAACCGAGTAAAACTTGCGAAGTTCCATGTTCACTTTTTTGTAGCTGTATGAACAAGTTCAAGCGTTTTGTCAGTACCTTGAAATGAAGATCTTCGGCAGCCGAAGTTATCGTGAGTCTTCTTGAACAGTGTAGGATAAGAACGTGATTTGAAGTAAGTCCGTCTTTTTTTTATGAGGATTCCCTTCAATTTCGACTTGTGGAGACTATTTGCTCGCCAATTGAAGTTTAAAGATATTCGCATTAGGCATCATTACAACGGAAACGTGAAGATCACAACACGTTTTATTTGCATTTGATTGTACAGTTTAAGACGTATCAATAATTTTTTTAATGGCAAAGTTTTGAATACTTGGCGTGGCTTAGTGTCGCCTGCAATATTTGAATTTCTGAGGAAATCCGGAGCAAAAATTTGAATAGTGGCCAGGAAATGGTCAAAGTAGGATTTAAGTCGATCTCTATTCGTTCAAGACCAACTCAGGACTGACAAAACCAATGAACAAACTCTTCGCGTCAAACGATTTCTTCTCTTTGAGAGTGAAAATATTTGAATTTGCACAACTTTTTCGTTTCAGATTTCGAATGCGTTTGTGGTTCAAGTGTTTCGCGCGTTTATTAATCCGCGATGGATCGTGACTTGGAAGAAGCGCTTCTGTTGACATGTGGAGGAGGTGAGACTCGTTGCTCGAGTGTTTTCTTTTTATGGATTTTCAAGAAAGAAAGAAGTACAGTATATAATACGTCTGTGACAATTGAAGATGAAGGGAATTTTGTTTTGTGTCTTCTCAACGTAGCTAAAAAAAAATATAACACCCGTATTCAAGCGATGGCCGGTTTTCACATCGAGTCAAGTTGATTCCTTCATAAAATTCTCCTTCTCTGAAAATATAACTCTTTTAGGTTCACATGCTGATGGGCAATACGCAAATCGAGCCTACGAAGAAGAATAATGTACTTAGATCTGTTTCGGTAAGCAAAGAAATGAATTTCTTTTCCGGTGAATCCCACCGAATCTGAGGACTGGTTACTCATTCGTTGGTAATTTCGACTGGGAGGTAATTCAGTACTGTATACATTTTAAATGAATTTTGCCTTTGATCTTATCGATTTTATTTCATAACCTAAACAATATTCCAATCCACAGAAGCGTTGGTCACGAAGGCGTGAAATTTCTGTCGTCGTCTAATCTTCGTGTCTCGGACCAATGAATGACCTGGACGTAAGCGCTTATCTGAAGGAACTCTCCTTGACTGCAAAAAAGACTGGAGAACAGACACCGGGTGCACAAGGAGCAAAACCAGTTGCCAAGCGCTTGAGATTTGGTCGGAAAGTTGATGAAAGACGCGTTTCAGAGTCGTCACCGGCACCAGTGACGCAAGATGCCTTCAGCGAAGACATTCCGACTGCTTTTCAGAAATTCCAGGCGCTGGACAAAAAATATTCGAAAAGATCTTTGAATTTCAATGAAGAAAAATCGGAGTCGCTTTCGGTGACTGTGTCGAGCACGCATGACGTTGGTGAAGTTCCGGATGCCGTGGCTCCAACTTCTGTGACTCCTGTCTTGGAAAAAGAAGTCTCTGAGAAGAAAGAGACGGAGAATGACAGAAATGAGATTAATTTGCGACGGTTCTCTGTATCTATGGAAGAAATCCACTCTGTCGAAGAACTGGATTCTTTGGAATCGAGAAAATCTGATGATGCTCCATCCTGCAGAAGTCAGGTTGAATCTCCGAAGATCAGTTTGAAAACTCCTGTTTCTGTCGTGGATGTTTCTACGAGACGCACTTCTCGGAATGAAGAAGTGCTGCGTCCAATTCACGGTCCCACTATTCAGCAACCCGAAAGTGCTCGACATGTGTGTCCAACGAAAACCATGATCTCAAATTCCTCCGTCCAAACTGTTGATTTGGACATGGGAACGTACCCGAGTCGACTTCGACATCGAGATGCATCCAGGTACCTTCAGCCAAATTTTGTTGAAGGTGAGAGAGAACAGCGTTTTAAAATTTTCGAGAGAAAAGAAAAGTGTTGTGCTCATTTGTTTTTATATTTTATTTTAGGCCTGGATGCGGAGAATTCGCACGAGGCGATCCGAAAGAAGTTCATGAAGATGCAAATCGATCTGATTGCGTCTAACGTTTATCGGCAAAAGAAGCTTTATTCTACTGCTATTGACAATTTGATTCCGGATCACGTGTATCGCATGTCTGATAAAAAGAAAAGACAGGAAACTCGGTGAAGTAGGAGCGGATTCTCCAAATCAAAAAGTGATCGACAATTTTCTAGTCATTGATGCCACCCGCTTTGATATAGTTGAAGGGCTTTTTTTTAAAGGATTGTGTTCATCGCATCAGCCGCAGATGAACCTTTGAAATATTGAAGATGATGATCTTTAATTTTGCCCAAATGAAGTAATATTTTCATGGAACAGTGGTACCATTGAAGTAAATTTTTTATCTCTCCTTTTTCAATCAAAAACTATTATATCCTTAGAATAAAGTCGTGAAAGTTGCAAACAAAGTTCATGTGGTTAATGTTTTAAAGCTGCTTTTTGTGCCGGAAGTATCGATCGTAATTTGGGCTCGACCAGGTTTTGTTTGCAAGAAAAGTTTTTGAAAATCGTTCATTCGTCGATAAATCGTTAATTGCTGTTCCTTCGCGAGTGTTACATTTTTTTGCGGTTTTGCGAGAGAGGGATTGTTGAAACTGTTTCGTCAGTTCCTTGAAAATATCTACTCAAGTTTTTGTGTCTTGAACAATGTGGGATGAGAGCATGGCTTGAAGCAAGCCTGTATTTGTCTGCTGAGTATTTCTCTTGGATTTAGACTTGCGGAAACTGTTCGCTCACGAAGTGACATCTCAAGTTGACATTCGCATCCAGCATGATTCGAAGAAATGCTAAAATCAAAAAAATTTTCCAGTCGGATTTTATTATAAGACGTATCAATGATTATTTAAATTTGTTTAAATGCTTTTAATACTTCGTATTGCTTACAATCGCTGCGAAGTCATTTAATGTTTAAATTTGCAAGGGAAAACAGAGAACCTGGAATCAAAGAGGCAACTTCAACTCCCTTTTTTTTTTCTCCATTTCAACCGAGGTGATCAAAAATTTGAACAGTGGTCAGGAAATGGTAAAGCATTATTCGGTGGGATTTAAGTCTATCTCCATTCATTGAAGAAGACCAGTTCGGGACTGACAAAACATAGGAAAAACCCCTTTTTTGTGGCGATCGTTTGAAAATTACGGTATTTAAATTTGTGCAATATTTTTTTTCGTCAGATTTCGAATGTGTTAGTGGTTCAAGCGTTCCGCGCGCTTATATATCCGCGATGGATCGTGACTTGGAAAAGGCGCCGCTGATGCCTCGGGGGGAAGGTGAGATTTGTTGCTGAAACGTTTCCTGGGTCCGGATTTTGTATTTCTTCCCGGCGCTGAAATTAACCAAGCTTTGAGTCTTACACGAGACTTGTCAGCTTTCTTCGTTTATTCTGATTCTCTCAAGCAGACGTAGTGTTTTTCGAATTATGCCTGGAGAATTCCACGATTTTCTCATTTCATTTTTTGAAATTTTTTGAGTATGCAGAAATAAGAACAGTATTATTAGTTCATTGCTCAGCATTCGACCTTCCATTCATGCATCATTTCTCATTAGGTAATATTTCGCGAGTTTTAGTGTGTTTTCCAGAGATTCCTCTTTCTATCATTAATTTTTTGCAAGTTGTAATTAAGGTTCAGCTGTAACATCTGGCTTAAAATAAAAAAAATCAAGCCTTTTGTTGTACAGGACTTGAACATTTTTTAAAGACAAAATTGAAAATATTTGGAAAACAATTCAAAGAAGCGTTGAAATGTTCCATTTAATCTTGTGTCATTAACATTCTCTTCAACTTGAATAAAAATCATAAATTGATGGAAGCATAGAGGGAAATTCAATCTTTGTAACAATTGCAGATGAGAAATTCAACGGATTTCCAGGTGGTACAGAATTAGGTTGAATTTTTTTTTTTTTTACAGGGCAGAAGGGTTAAAATCTTTTTTTTCTAGTCTGAAGATCTTATAATTATCGTACACCTTATTTTTGAATACCACACGCCCTCAATTAAAACATGTACCCCACTTCGTCATCTGAAAACTTTGATGAAATCCTATCCCCAAGTAACACGCGCACCCGATTCTTATTGAGCGAATAAGTAATACGTTTTTGAAGTAAGGGATGCCAAAAATTCGAAGTTAACCGTGACTTCAATTAATATTAAATTGTTTTCATTTAAAAAAATGTCCTGTCACAAATTTCCCAATATTCTGCATTCAAGTGTGACGCTCTCGTAAATTTTCAACATTTTTTGAAACTTTCATCCCCGCCTATGACACGCTCCCCACCTTTTCCTTTCAATTTTGAGAAATAATAAGAATATGGTACTCAAGTAATTACCGTGATTTACCGAAAATTTTCTGCTCAGTACTTTGATTCAAAACCAGACAATCCTGACGTATGTGTCGAACGCTTTTGCACTTGTTTTTGTCGTATTCTACATTTGATGATTTGGAAATCGAAGAAGTTGAAAAGGGAACTTGATTTTATTTTTGTGAGGCATGTGCGTAGTTCTTTTTCTTATGAGTCTCTCCAAATTTGAGAATCGGTCAATGATTGGAAATCAATGCGAATAATTTAGTGTATTCTACTTGAAGCCTGACTTCCATTAGTTGCTTCTCTTCTTGCCCTTTTTTCGTTTTCGTTTTTATTGTTGCGTTTGGATGGTAATCCAGTACGTACGAGAACCTGACCCCGGTGGACGCGAATGGCTGCCTATTTGACTTGCTTTGGCTAACCCCCTGGGAACTGAATGAGTGCGAGTACCTTCTTGTAGAATACGTGAGTGCTTATGCAGAGTTCCCGCCGTCTGCGCCACTGGCTGAGTACGCTGGCGAGGAAGCGTCTGGCCCTGCTGTCAATGGGAACCGGATCCCGATGGTATCCTGTCGGGTGTGTCAGGCCATGATCGACATTAGCGACAAGCGCGACCAGCACGTGGTCAAGTGCACCCAGTGTCGGGAAGCTACTGTGAGTTTTGAATGGCAGCGAGTTCCCCGCACGAGAAAAATAATTCGCTGCATTATGCGGGATTTTTCGTTGTGTGAAACGCGTTTTGTCTTTAGATTAATTTTGAACTGTGACGTGTAAATGGTTTAACGTGTTCCAGAGACTCGTCAGAAGACCATACAATTTGTAATTTTTTTTGCGTGAAATGGTGAATTTCAAATTCAAATACTGTATTCTGATGAGGCTCTTGAATTTCTCAATTTGATAAATTTGCAGACGAGAATGAGCGAAGGTAAACCATTCTTTTCTGGCGGGGAAGCTATTGTGAGTTTTAAAAATCCAAATTACTCTACCATGAATCCCCGCATAACGCAAGTAATCCATTTTCGCTTTGCGGAGTTTTTGTGATTCTGTTCCAGAAACTCGTCAAAAGACCATGGAATTTATGTGGGTTATTTTTTCAGCATCAAGTAGTGAATTTGAAATCGATGGGTCTGAATGTTAAGCAATCTGATGAGTTTTAAATCATAAATTTTCGAATTTCATAAATAAGCAAAACCACGCTATTTTTTTAAAACTGGAAGCTACTGTGAGTTTTGAATTAAAGATTTCCCAGATGAGGAAATTAATCAGTTCCGTTTTGCAGAATTTTTTCATGCGAAACGAGTGTTTCCTTCAGATTGCTTTGTAAATTATTTCATTTGTTCCAGAAACTAAAAGTCGTCGAAAGACCATGACCTCTTTTGTTTTTCAACAAGAAATACAGACTTTGAAAATGATTGGTATGAAATTGAAGTAGTCCTGATGAGTTGGAAGTGTTGAATTTTTGAATTTCGAGGATAAGCAGAAGTAAGCCATTAGTTCCTCGTTTCTTGCTAATATTTCAAAAAATTCGAAATTCAATAAAATGTTGTCATTTTTGGCCTAGAAATTTCGTTGTGTGAGTCACTTTTTACTGAAGATTTCTTCATGTGGGGACCCATTGTAATTTCCCTCATCTCGTCCGAAAAATCGGAATTCAACAAATGTTTTGTGGATTTTCTACGTGGTGTCAATGCTGCCAGATTAATTAGGAGTGTCCTGGACTAAATTCATGAATNTGAGTCTTACACGAGACTTGTCAGCTTTCTTCGTTTATTCTGATTCTCTCAAGCAGACGTAGTGTTTTTCGAATTATGCCTGGAGAATTCCACGATTTTCTCATTTCATTTTTTGAAATTTTTTGAGGACGCAGAAAAAAGAACAGTATTATTAGTTCATTGCTCAGCATTCGACCTTCCATTCATGCATCATTTCTCATTAGGTAATATTTCGCGAGTTTTAGTGTGACCAAGTTTTCCAGAGATTCCTCTTTTCTATCATTAATTTTTTGCAAGTTGTAATTAAGGTTCAGCTGTAACATCTGGCTTAAAATAAAAAAATAAGCCTTTTGTTGTACAGAACTTAAACATTTCTGAAGAAAAAATTGAAATATTTGGAAAACAATTTCAAAGAAGCGTTGAAATGTTCCATTTAATCTTGTGTCAATAACATGTTTTTCAACTTGAATAAAAATCATAAAATCGATGGAAGCATAGAGGGAAAATTCAATCTTTGTAACAATTGCAGATGAGAAATTCAACGGGTTTTCAGGTGTTGACAGAATTAGGTTGATTTTTTTTTTTACTGGGCAGAAGGGTTAACATATTTCTTTTCTAGCCTGAAGATCTTATAATTATCGTACACCTTATTTTTGAATACCACACGCCCTCAATTAAAAAATGTACCCCACTTCGTCATCTGAAAACTTTGATGAAATCCTATCCCCAAGTAACACGCGCACCCGATTCTTAGTGAGCGAAAAAGTAATACGTTTTTGAAGTAAGGGATACCAAAAATTCAAAGTTAACCGTGACTTCAATTAATTTTAAATTGTTTTCATTTTTAAAAAGTTCCTGTCATAAATTTCCCAATATTCTGTATTCGAGTGTGACGCTCTCGTAAATTTTTAACATTTTTTGAAACTTTCATCCCCGTCTATGACACGCTCCCCACCTTTTCCTTTCAATTTTGAGAAATAATAAGAATATGGTACTCAAGTAATTACCGTAATTTACCGAACATTTTCTGCTCAGTACTTTGATTCAAAACCAGAAAATCCTGACGTATTTGTCGACGCTTTTGCACTAGTTTTTGTCGTATTCTACATTTGATGATTTGGGAATCGAATAAGTTGAGAAGGGAACTTGATTTTATTTTTGTGAGGCATGTGCGTAGTTCTTTTTCTTATGAGTCTCTCCAAATTTGAGAATTGGTCAATGATTGGAAATCAATGCGAATAATTTACTGTATTCTGCTTGAAGCCTGACTTCCATTAGTTGCTTCTCTTCTTGCCCTTTTTTCGTTTTCGTTTTTATTGTTGCGTTTGGATGGTAATCCAGTACGTACGAGAACCTGACCCCGGTGGACGCGAATGGCTGCCTATTTGACTTGCTTTGGCTAACCCCCTGGGAACTGAATGAGTGCGAGTACCTTCTTGTAGAATACGTGAGTGCTTATGCAGAGTTCCCGCCGTCTGCGCCACTGGCTGAGTACGCTGGCGAGGAAGCGTCTGGCCCTGCTGTCAATGGGAACCGGATCCCGATGGTGTCCTGTCGGGTGTGTCAGGCCATGATCGACATTAGCGACAAGCGCGACCAGCACGTGGTCAAGTGCACCCAGTGTCGGGAAGCTACTGTGAGTTTTGAATGGCAGCGAGTTCCCCGCACGAGGAAAATAATTCGCTTCATTATGCGGGATGTTTCGTTGTGTGAAACGCTTTTTGTCTTGAGATTAATTTTGAACTGTGAAGTGTAAATGGTTTAACTTGTTCCAGAGACTCGTCAAAAGACCATAAAATTTGTATTTTTTTTCAGCGTGAAACGGTGAATTTCAAATTCATGAGGTTGAGCTCTTGAATTTCTCAATTTGATAAATTTGCAGACGAGAATGAGCGAAGGTAAACCATTCTTTTCTGGCGGGGAAGCTACTGTGAGTTTTAAAAATTCAAATTGCTCTACCATGAATCCCCGCATAACGCAAGTAATCCATTTTCGTTTCGCGGAATTTTTGTGATTCTGTTCTAGAAACTCGTCAAAAGACCATGGAATTTATGTGGGTTATTCTTTCAGCACCAAGTAGTGAATTTGAAATTGATGGGTCTGAATTTTAAGCAGTCTGATGAGTTTTAATTCATAAATTTCCGAATTTCATAAATTTTAAAAAGGATGATAAGCAAAACCAAGCCATTTTTTCCAAACGGGAAGCTACTGTGAGTTTTGAATTAAAGATTTCCCAGATAAAGAAAGTAATCAGTTCCGTTTTGCAGAATTTTTTAATGCGAAACGAGTTTTTCCTTCAGATTGCTTTGTAAATGATTTTATTTGTTCCAGTACTTCCAGAAACTGAAAGTCGTCGAAAGACCATGACATCTTTTGTTTTTCAACAAGAAATAGAGACTTTGAAATTGATTGGTATGAAATTGAAGTAGTCCTGATGAGTTGGAAGTGTTGAATTTTTGAATTTCGAGGATAAGCAGAAGTAAGCCATTAGTTCCTCGTTTCTTGCTAATATTTCAAAAAATTCGAAATTCAATAAAATGTTGTCATTTTTGGCCTAGAAATTTCGTTGTGTGAGTCACTTTTTACTGAAGATTTCTTCATGTGGGGACCCATTGTAATTTCCCTCATCTCGTCCGAAAAATCGGAATTCAACAAATGTTTTGTGGATTTTCTACGTGGTGTCAATGCTGCCAGATTAATTAGGAGTGTCCTGGACTAAATTCATGAATATGTTAGTTTCTATATAAATCAGAAAAGCGATCAACAAGATTTCGCGAGAGTTGTAGTTATAAGCAGTCCACCCGAGTTTTGCTTTTATTTTCTAGCCGATCAAGAATGCGCCGATGGGGAAGAAATACGTTCGATGTCCGTGCAATTGTCTCTTGATCTGCAAGGACACTTCACAACGGATTGCGTGTCCTCGCCCGAATTGCAAAAAGATCATCAATTTGGCTCCGATCAATCCACCTCCTGCGGCTACTCCGTCCATGCCCGGCATGTGCCATGTCTGCTGCGCCCATTGTCGTGAAATATTTCTGGTGATTACTGGTTATTTTTTCACCCGTTACTGGACCCACGAGAGACTGAGATTTTCCCTTCGAAGTTTGAAGAAATTTCACGAAATGTGTGAAAATGTGACGATGAGAAAGGGTTGGATGCCGAATTAATGAAAAATGTAGGCCGTTCTCTTGAACAGGGAAGAAATCAATAGCATTTTTGTAACGACTGTTTTATCAGCACGAGAGTTGTACTCCTGATGTAAGATTAGCAAGATAGATCGCTGTGAATCACTCTGAAATTAAATTGGTCAAATTTTTCTTCTCAACCTCGACGCTGGAAATTAAGTTCGCCTGGTTTCTTGTATCAAAGTAAAGCACGTCAGAAAATTCCTGAATTATTCGCATTTTTAGGAGTCTAGTGACGCGGGAATCGTCCTGATTGATCGCGTTGATTTGCGATCGAAAAATAATCCATTTCCCCGCGTGTTGTGATTTCAAATCCTCGATGCTTTTTTTTATGAAATTCTTAAGAGAGATTCCGATGAGGTAAGTCGATTCCAGAAGTTTCTTGTTACGTTTTTTTATTTTTCGATTTTTGTGTGTGGGGAGAGAAAAAAAACTGAAGGATGTATTTATGACCCCAGGTCCCGATGGACCGGTTATTCACGAGCGTTCGTTCGTTTCAGTTCAACTCACTGACGAACGTCATGGCCCGTTGTCCGCACTGCCGCAAAGTGTCTTCCGTCGGTGTCGATTACACCCGACGACGGAAATGGGCATTTCTTGTGCTTGGGTTAATTGCACTGGCCGTTGGTCTCGGTGTCACGGTAAGTTCGATGATGCAGTATGTTCTAGAAATCCACGGGAGGCTGGTGTTGGAGAGCGCCATCTTAGTTCATATCTGAAAGAAAGTAGGAGGAGCTCATGCACAGGCGACATCTAGATTTGAATTTGACTACGATATTGTCTTGGTCAACAAACTCGGTGTGAAAAAGTAATGTTAGGACTTATTGAAGAACATAAGAACTTATACAGTATTTGGAAGAATGATGATGGTTGCATTGTCTTACAGTACCTTCTAAGTCATGGGAGCAAATTTACGATTGAATTATTTTTATTTTTTCAAGAGACTGTGTTTAAAGAAACTTTACCGTTCATGTGATTTTCAACTTCACCGTTCATGTGATTTTCAACTTTACCGTTCATGTGATTTTCAACTTTACAGTTCATGTGGTTTTTTGTATGTCTTCATGACTCATAAAATGAAACACATGTTCCTGAATCAAAACATGATTGTGACCACGTTGACATAAATCTACGTAATAACCAAAGAACTGATATGAATATATTTTTTGCGGGTCTCTAGAGCTGAAATGCTTAAGAGACATTATTTTTCTCAGTCAAAATTGCGCATTTGATTTCATTGCGACATTTCATTGCTTGATGGTTTTGGCGTGTGGGAGTTCATGGTTATTATATTCTTCTTACAGTTTGGAACTATGAATCTTGCATCTCACTATGGCGGGCTGTACGTTATTCATGTTGGTGAGTATGGTTGGAATTACAGACTGAACCAAAAAAGGAAGACCAGCACTTGAGCAGTGATGTCTTTTGCATATTTCACGACTGCCACTTGAAAAAAAAATTCAGGCTGATCATTTTTCAGTTTCATTTTCCAACAAGCTCCTATTTTTGTATGGGCATGACCATTTTAGTTTTCAAGTTATTTTCACTGAACATTTTCTGATCATGTTAATTCAAGTTTCAAAAGTTCATGTTTTGTTTTAATTGATTATTTTAAGAGTAGTTGCCTCAAATTTTGTATCCTTCACCATTTCAGTATGCTCAAAGGATGATCAGTATATAAATGGAAATATGGGCATCAAATTGAGTTTTGTTATTCAAAAAGAAAGACATGAGGTTAAAATAGAAACAAATAAAGCAGGAATCACCTGTTTTCAAGGCAAGGGGGATATCCTTGCAAATCAAGCAGCATTTTAAAATCAAGTACCAACAAAGCAAGACACTAAAGTAACATTGGACCGCAAAGTATCCCTGAGTATCCCAATTGATTACAACTTGGAATGTGATTCGATTTGAAAAGCTTCAAGTTAAAATACTTCTGGGGTTGATTCTGTGTGAGCAGGCCGTGTCTGGGAAGATGCAATCCCAATTGCCGGGAACCTTGAGAAGTCCCACAAATTCGTTCGAAAAACCTCGAGAATGCCGTTGAATCTTGTGGAAAAATCTAGAAAAACCTTGGAAAGGGGTGATGAGATAAATTCCACGTGGCATGCATATTGCGATTCAATCAATGAGCAAATGAAAATTTCGCAGAAGGAGTGTAATTCATGTGATTTATTTAGCAGAGTACTTCTAAATGATGGATTAATAAAATTTGTCTTTTGCGCAAGCTCCTGGCCACTTTAGAGCTGATTGAAAATATATAAAATCGAAGTATTGCTTAATTTAACAAACATTATGCAGTATTTTCCGATGATCTCTCGTTTTGTTGACAGAAATCCATTTGGTACCGGACAGCGCATTGAATCGTTTTTCCAAATTTGAACCATTCCGAAATTCATCACTGTTTGACACTCTGGTCTCCTTTTTCTGGTCAACCACTGGGCTATCTGCCTGTTTTTACTCTGAGTGCCTCATTTTTCAAATGATTTTTTTTTCATCAGGAGCATTTTTGATCGCAATCGTGTTCCTGTGCCGAGCCTTATATTTCCACACCATGAAAGTGAGCCATCCGGATCGTCCTTTGTACTGAGCTGCTGGTAGGGTATGGTAGAGGGCGCTACGAGGCCTTCGTGGTATTTTTATTTTCCTTCTGATAACGCGAGTTCGGCGACTTGATGATTTTCCTCTTGAAAGGTTTTTTTTTCTGGGAAATGCGTTGTCGATAGCTTTTGTGGGCAGCGGGATTTCGTCATGGTCGACGCGTTTGAGACCCCCTTTTTATTCGAGCCCCGAGAAATATTCCTCTCACTCGGTGTCTTGCCTTTCAAGAGGTTTGGTTTGTGTTTGTGCGTTTTTTTTTTTAACAGGTGGTAGCTTTCCACCAGTCTGAGGTAACCTTGAAGATTATGGAACTGCGTCAATTTCTGTAGTTTTATTATTACGCACAGGGGAAACGTGACCAAGTTCTTTTTTTTCCATTGGCTGGGACATCTGAAAGAAAGTGTGGTGTGATCGAGAAAAGACTAGATGAATGAAACTTCTCGAACTTTCCGAGAAGAGGTTTTTTTTTTTTAAGAACAATTCGTGGCAAATTTGATTTAGATTTTATGGGTCGCAACGTTCTTTTGCAGTTAAACGTTTAAAATTTTCAAGCGAGATTATTTGCAGTTTTGAGCCAAAGAACAATAATGAACTGGATAGTGAAAATGCTGTATGCTTAATTTTCCTGCTGAATCACCTTGTCTTGATGTTTTAGCGATGCAATACTGATTTATTTTAGACCATGTGATTTTAGGAATTTATATCAAACGAAGCACCCCCTTAGTTGTGCAGTTATAATTTTTTTTTGTGTGTGGCTAAGTGCCTGGATTTTATAGATCCGTTTTCGGAGTGTGAATGTTTGCTGTTGTAGGAACTGGTGTTTTTTTCCCCGGCATTCCAAGGGTTTACAAGTTTTGGCTCAAGTTGTTTTTCAATTTTTCCGCAATGACACTTGAGCTGGCTGTGCATTCCCCGAAATTTATTTCTGCTAACACATGTGAGACTGTGATCCCAGTTTGAATTTTTCTTAGTGGTTTATTCCGGCGAAGTGGGGGAAAAGTAATGTGGGAATTGATCGTTAGATTTATGCTGCATTTTTTGGGAGATGAGGTATGATATCTTGAAATTTTATGGTGGTCAGAGTGACATACTCAGGAGGTTCCTTTTTTTTGGCTTGTATGCTTGCGTTTTGAGGCTGAGGCGGAATTTTTGGATGAATGATTCATTTCAAGCCTTGAGTTTTTTTTTTTTTTCGTGGAATTTATGTTCTGAGATGCGGGAAGCAATTCTAAGTGCGAATTTTCGTTTCCGTGGACGGTTTTGTGGAAGGAAAATTAGTCTTATAGATTTGAAGAGGGTTTTTGGATTCAGTTGCAGTATTCTTCGGAGTTCTGTCTGGGGAGGTTCCTCTTCTACATGAAATCATTTGTATTGAAATGAAAACTGTATGAATGCCGTTTTTCTGTGATTCTCGTTCATTTTTTGGTATTTTGCTTGAACATCAATCTAAAATTATCCGAACCTTTCTTTTCAGGTTACGCCGCCTTTTCCTTTTTTTTTTTTTTTGAATGTTGAGCGTGTGTGTTTCTTCTTCTTCTTGGCCTGTCGAAGAACTTGTTTCCCGAAGATGCTGTGCTGAACACCGAGTAGATGCCTGAGTTTTCCTGTCCGCGTGATGAAAGCATGATCCCAGTTCGAATATCTTGGAAAGAGATATATTGATGGGAAAATCTCGTTGGCAACCTTTTCTTGGTGAGCAACTGTCACGCAAAAAGCCAAATTTATGAGGCCAATGAGTAAAATGTATGATGAATACATTCGTGGGTGATTGAATGCTGTTTAAGTGTATGTAATGTGATGTAGTATGTATCTGCTACCGAATCCTTCAAAACTGAATCCTAGCTCTGAATATTTGTTCTGAGTTATGTTAATATTGAATTTTAAATTTGTTATTTTACGAATTGTAAATTTGTTTTCGAAGCTTGCGTAATCATGAGGTAGAATTTTGATTCTATGCAATTGAATCGAAGACGATGAAGATCGAGATCATAATTTAGGCGGGTCATGTCATTCATTCCTTCTTCCAGTAGTTGAATGTTTCTTCTAATCCTTCGATCCTTTTTTTATCCTTCACGTTATTTTCTGTGCGATTTTTCCATTATATTACTTTTTTCTTCGGCATAATGTGGTTCATGTCATTCCTGTTTCATTAGTTTTATGCGAGTGTTGAATGTTTATTTGCGAGTTACTTCTCATTTTCGCATTAGTTTCTGTGTTTGATTTTCACATGAGATTTGTTTCATGTGCAGTAATTTATCGAAATTTACAACTAATATCATTCGTGCAGACTACAGTAATTGGATTACGATCACATTTTACGTGTACCCTAGTGGAAATTCAGTAATCGCTGGATTTTGAGTTTTCAGTGTAAGTAATTTAATCTTTCATTACGCTTGCAGAAAGAGGCGACATCTTCTGGAAACAAAAACGAGGGCTCGCTGGGACTGATGGGTGTCGTTCGCAATTTCGCTAGCGAGTGTCTTTACTAGTTAACCTACACGATGGTGCGTACTGCAGTTGCATTAGTTTGAGGGACTTGATTGTGTAGACTTTCATTTTTTTCAGGTGATTCTGTCGGTGAAGGGCTGTCAATGCTTACGTATGTGTGCGGTGAGAAAGAGAGAGAGGAGGGTCTCATGCGATGCGCTTCGTGAGTGGATGTGGGCAGTGATGTGAGGAAAGTTTAAAATGGCGTTAATTGTAAAGGTAAATATATTCCGTGTGTTCTTTCCCTGTGTCTGTTGAGTTGCGAATCATTGAAGTGGAGGTCGTAAATTGAGGTTAAATAGCAATAAGACATTACACTGGCTGAAGTAACATCTGGCTACAGTATGTCGGTTTATGAAAGTTGCATATACGCAAAGTAAACAAATTTTCAAGCCCCCGTACATAATGTCATTCAATAATATGTCATTTTTTAATATATCTAACTCGAAGGATTTTCTCTCGAACCCGCTTAATTCCAGTGCCTTTTGGCTATTTTTTTCTTGAAAAAGGAAAGAGAAAGACCAATTGGACAAATGAACCCCTGTATATACAAGGTAAAGATGAATTATGTAGAAGGGAATGATCAAAATTGGATTTTCTTTTTTTTTCAGCGTTGGGGTTGTGTGGGTGGGAACAAACCAGTGAGCCAAAAAAATAGTGCCGGGTGTTGGACGCCATTTATATGGCTGTGTGCCGAATTGTGCCAGACCATGGGTCTACCATCTTTTCTAGAAATGTTTAGAGGGCAATACTGATTGGAACATTAACTAATGCAAATTTTGATGAAATGGTAGTACATAGTATCTTATTTATTGCTGAAGATAGAAGGAAATGATTCATTAGTACGAATTCAGTACTGCCCACTAATGTGATGGGAGGATGGTGAACTCGGGTCTGGCACAATTTGGCACGGTCCAACATTCGGCTCTATTTTTTTGGCTCACTGGAATGAAAGAGATTATTAATAAGATATTTACTGCGTAAATAAAATAATTGTACAAATTTTATCTGTATGAATATATACCTAATATCATTTAATATTTCACTGTGACAAGAAAAGTTGATGAGCTTAGTTAAATTGTTTGCTTTTCCTTCAAAAATCACCCGTCAAACATGTATCTTATCAACTCCTTAATGTTGAACATTAAGCCTCAGCCATAGAATTTCAACAAATGATCTAGTTGATAAATTCCATTAGGAAAAGGATCTATCAGTTATTCATGAAATGCTGCCAACAGAAAAAGTTGGAGGAAAGATTTGAGTACATTTCTTCTCGGAATCAAAAGAAGGCACGCCGAGGAACTGCACATCAAGCACTCAGCAAAATACCATTTCACATCGCCACAGCATCACGGAAAGTAGAACCCGGTGGCTTCAGGGTAACTCGAATAACGTTTCAACCCCGATTTCCATCTCCCCCGGGGTACCAAAAAGTTGGGGCTGTGAAAATTGTAAACCACGCGGAAAGTACAGGGAATAGAACAGGGGTTTTTTCAGAATGCCTCTCAAACTTTTTTCCTCTCCCCTCCTCAGACTGGACACTACTATACACCTTTCAAAGTACAGAAAATTGTGAGCGTTTCGCAAGCGAATGGACTAGGTTCTTACATAGGTGGTCCATTTTAACTGACAATAAACTCCTAAGAGAAAACGAAACAAATAAACTTGAAATTCCACTGAAGTAAATTGCATACTAAGGCAAGCAGCAAATTATCGAGAATACCACCGTGAGATTAACCACGCTGACTTGGCTGAAAGCATTAAGTTTAGTAAAAAAAAAAACCCTAGGAATAGAAGCTCTCTTCATGCATGACCACTCAACAACTGAGCACCAAGGGGAACCGAGTACCAGCCAATTCAACGTCTTTCTTACTACAGACACCAATTGGGACGATATTGCAACATAAAAGAGAGGGGTTCACATATATCTAAGTTTGAGTCATAGAAAGATTCAGCATTGCATAAGATTATTGTAGGAATTAATCTGTACTCTGAATTCCCCCTGGCGCTCACTGGACCTTCATCAAGATGCCAAACGTTTGAAAAAGCGAAACATACACCACTTTAAAGCAAACCCGATTCGAGCGCCAATTGATATAAGACTTACTTCTTTCTCTCGCTACTTTCAAATCTCTAGAGAAACTTGAGGAACTGGATGCTTCCCGGAAGACATACCAGCATCAATTATTAGGACACGACCTTTCAATCAAAACTCTTTAACGCAGCCATGCAAAAAAATTTGTTTTCCGTAGAAACTAACGAAATTATTGTCGACCTGTCATGTCGAGTATTTTTTTGCTGGTTACTTCATCAGCTTCGATTTCAAAGGGGCTTTTCAGTGCCCTGCGGCAATTGGCGTGGATGTTGTGAAAGTCGGGGTTTCCAGCTCCTCGTGCTTCTTCATTTTCACACCCTGTTGAAATAGAAACAAGAAAATGTTGTTCAGCGAAAAAACAACCCAGGATGAAAATGAAGAGCTCTTCGTAAAATGTGCGGTACTATTCTATGCGAGTCAATTTTTCCAACTTGAAAATATCCCGGCATTTAATTGCTTGCTGGTCTGTGAGTTTTTCATCACGCGTTTAAAATAAAATGTCTGGAACTTGAAAACTATCCTGCAACAAACTCAATCACTTCAAATTTCAATGGTTTTTATTCCGGGAAATATTTCAGAAAAGGTGTTCAGGCAAACTAAAAAAAATGAAAGCTAATCATAGTTACAATGCGTTCCAGTAGGGACTAAGTTCTAAGTAACTCTTTACTGTACAAGTTATGTGTTCATTGCGGGACCAAGAAATATTTTTTCACGTTTCCTCAACACTTTTCAAGAACAAAATTATTTGTGTTCCTCTAAGTTTGACAAAGTAAGGTCCATCTATAAAGTATCACAGTTGAACCAGGCAAACCTCCCTACTTCGAATGTCTTGCAATTTAATCCTCCCTAATTCATTTTTCCTCACTTAAATCACACCTCACTTAGTCACATTTCCAAGGTCTTATGACTCTCACATAATGATTTCTCAACAATAAATTCTGGATTTTCAAAGTGACCGGGGTAACAGTTGCATTTCAAAACAAGTTCAATTTCTTGCACATCATGAAATTGACAAAATTCACAAACCTGCTGCAGTTTGTAGTGATTGATGATATCCTGGTCCGCTGGACAGCTCTGAATAAACGCATCCAGGTTGTACATCGTTGCCATGTATCGCCACAAATCCAACAAATTTGGGTCGATCTCGAAATCCAAGAAGTGTTTGCCTGTAAAATGCAGAAAAAAAGGAAGCATTAACACAATGCCCCAATAGTTCTCTTCAGCTAATTTTGACGGACTTCCCATGTGATGTATCTGTCAGAACAAAAAGCATACTTCAGGATAAAAACCCTTACAACTCCAAGGCTGTACAGAAACAAGATATTATTCAAGAGAACTTAAGTCATTAATTTTGCTAGTGGCGGATGTCTACATAGGCCAAAGTCTGGGGCACATGGAGTGACACAGAGTTCATTGCAGAAGAATACAACTGTCAAATATGTAGAACAAAAATCTTGAAAGGGAAGCAAAAATGTGATCAAAGTTTCTGTAGAAAAGGAGTTTCCTAAAATCATTTCTGAATAATTACAGTTTAGGTACAAATTCTGATGGCATGCAATCATTTCAGAATTGTAAAAAAAATGCCGATTATGAAGTATGCATACATTTTTTGTGGTAATTTTTCCCCCACAGCCTGCACTGAGCTTTTTTCGTTTGGACCTTTCAAATGAAGGGGGAAAAAAAGATTTCTCACCAAAAGTATTAGAACCATAAATCAATTTCCAAAAAAGACTGTGACTGATGATGATGATGATCATGCAGTGAGACCTGAAGTAAACTCACCAGCTACGCGAATGTGCTGCAGTCTGGGCATCAATTCGCAGTCAAAGCAGCACATGGTGTCTCCAGTGAGGAAGCGAGTCCCACTCCGACCGAGATGTTCATCAATCTTCCTCAAGTGCCCCATCAAGATGTTCTTGCTGGCTTCATCCCTCTTGGTGAGGTACAACTTGAATTTCTGCAGAGCATTTTGCAACAAAAGAAAACAGTCAACAGCTGATGGAGATGATTGACATGAATTTCTACAGAAGTATTTTGCCAAAAAAAAAACANTACAACTTGAATTTCTGCAGAGCATTTTGCAACAAAAGAAAACAGTCAACAGCTGATGGAGATGATTGACATGAATTTCTACAGAAGTATTTTGCCAAAAAAAAAAACAGTCACAGCTGATGGTGTGGAGATGAATTCAGGACAATGATTTTTAACTACAGTGTGAAATACTTATACTATTTACTGTACTTATGGATTGAGCCCCTTATTAAAAGATGGGCCCATGTTCCCATTCCAAATTTACCATTTGATAAATTACTACTGTATTTGTGAAGGTTCTTATCTGAAGTTTTACCTTCTTATCTATTGCCCATAAAATGTATAATCTTGACATGTAAGCCTTCAAGGGACCCAATGATCATCTGTTATACAGTAAAATCTTGTTGATAAAATCCCAGGGACCTTGGGAACACTTATAGAATTCTTCTGTTTTACTGATATTCTATACTGATATATACAATTTTTAAACACATTTACCTTATATTGAACCTGCCTTGCTTCAGATTTTCTAATAATGTATGAATTTTATTGAAAAATAAAATGAGACAAAACATCTCAAAGGAAAACTTCATTCCAAAGTCAAATTCATTTACACCTGGTTTCTCTGCATTTTCTTTCCAGCATACTGTTCATTGTGAAGTAAGGAGCAATTGCTGAATTCTGGAATGGATCAAGAAATACCAGGAGGAATTCATGCTGGATATTTTCTGAAATAGTAGAAATACTGCACAATTTAGATTTTCTTACTGTTCTGCAAATTATTAGATAAGCCCTATGCATCATTCACAGACTTAGGGCAAACATGTTGTTATACAGTACAGGTGGTACATTGCAATTTGACAGTTGAATTTGCAGGGAGGTTGACTTACAATTTGACCCTTGTCCCACAATTTTACCTGCTTTGGCATTTTTTTTGCGTTTTTATACTTATATTTTCCAATTTAACAAAGTGTCTTGCAATTAGACCCCTGTTCAGATTAGGGTTGAATTTCAAGGTACCATGTACATGTACACAAAATTGAAGTAAAAATACAGTTGCTGAAACACTTCCTATCATATGCTTACCATGCAAAAACAGCTTTGACATTGAGAAGTTCTTTCACCAAAAATAATTTGTTGTGACAAAATTCACTGCAAAAAACGCAATCCATAAAGATTCCTAGATGGAAATGACTCATTTTATGGTAAGAGCTGAATTCATTTAAATCTTGGTTCTTAGTGGGGACACACTTGAAAAAATTGACAAACTCTTCCAACAGAATAATACACTTTTCACAGCAGAAATACAGTATTACTGCATGAAAAAAACACTCGTTTTGAAAAGCAAGAATTCACAATTTTGATTTTTCTCTTTTCTGGGTCTGCAGAACAAAAGTTTAAAGAATTTCAGGGAATTCAGGTCTTAGGGGAACTCAGAGCAAATATTTGACATATTGAGGTTTTTTTGACTTAGGCCTGAGTGATTAAATTCCAAGTTTACTAATGTTGGATGGATAAAACCAATTGCAATCCCTCTGCATATCCCAAAACTCACATTATAAACGTTCTCAATCTTCTTGGCAACTTCCATGTTTTGCACAAAAAGGTTGTGTCCTCCCGGGATGTTCTTCATTATGTGTCTTTCAATGGACTCGTTGTCCAAGACTGCGAATCCATTGTCAATCAGGAAACGTTCTCAATCTTCTTGGCAACTTCCATGTTTTGCACAAAAAGGTTGTGTGGAGGGCCCTACAAGAAGTAATACACAGAAAGTTACCTGAGCAACAGGTTCTGACGCTTAGGTAACAGTTAGTCCTAGCCGCCTCCTCACCGAAGTTTTAACCAGGACGTTTAAGTTTTTTTTTTTTACCCCCAGCATTTATTAATTTGAATTCTCTTCATCCCCAGTCTTGCATCACAAAATCTCATGGTCAAGGAATCGATCAGTAATGAAACAAAATACCCCTTGACCTCCAAAAGTGGACTAGACTAGCGAGTACCTGGTGATCGAGCCAAGGAATCTTATTAATACATACGTTCGGTACTTATTCGCGGTACTTGGTAAGGACGACCATCACGGGATCGAATTACAAGTCTTTCTCCGTTTCCAGAGTTGCCCAACAGTTCAAGGTCATCCAACAATACCGGATTTACAAGAATTTAAAACTGGCGTCTATTTTTTTTGAATCATCTATTCAGAGGAGAACAAGTTTCAAAAATTATGCCGCAAAGATACTTGAGCAAATTCGTGATCTGTGGAGGCGTCTTTGAAACCTACTTTACTAGTGCTAGTTACGTAATAACTAAGTGACCTTTTTAAATTGTTTACTCCCTACTCAAATTCCGTACTTGACTCTTGTTGTCGTCTTGACCATGCACTATTATTTTTGTTGACAACCTTTCACCTCGGAACCCTTTTTTTTTTACCGAGTACCGATATTAAAGATCACTTGAACCGGAAAAATATTCATTCGCCGGCTTTTCTTGCAATACATTTAATTCAAGCCTGATAAGATACATTTTATGAACCGAGAAAAAAAACGGGAACATATTAAATGCAGCTTTTGGAATTATTTCGCAAATTTACTGGGCAGAGTAACACTTCAAGATCAATTCATTGTAAAAAAAAAACTTTATTCGCAGGTTTTCATTGTAATGCATTTTGCTCCGAATTAATTGACAATTGTTTTAGGGCTTAGTTATTACGTAGACTATAAGCTTCACTAAGCCGTTATGTATTAAAGAAAGTTTTTTCGTGCCTAAAAGAGTAGCCAAAGTTTCTGCGGTTCTTGACACTGTCTCTTGGTCTCTTTTTAGTTGACACTGGCTACATCTGCCAGAGCTAACTGAAAATCGGCTTTCTTCTACTTGGCAATACATTATTTCTTCCAGAAGAACGGTTTTCTCTTATTGGTTTCAATCAATCCCTTCAAAGACTCTACAATTGTGATGGAGAACGAGCGACAATTTGTGACACTGGCGACATCTACAAGAACTAACCGCAAATTGTCTGCGTCTGCAACTCGGGATATTGAATTCCAAAAGCAATCATGGAATGCGTAGATGTCGCTAGTTCACGAGTCTCTATATATATCCAAAATTTCTTTAAAAAATTATAAATAAAGTCCTGAGCCAAGTAAAAACTCGCGAAGACAACTGTAAATAATGACGAAATTCCCGAGAGATCCGGTGACATTTAGTTTGGTAAAGTTTTGCTTGGTCCCAGGTTCAAAAGAGTCTTCTTAGTTTTTGCGTACTGGGACTGACCCAGTAGCCTGAAGAGGTAGTTTGATAAGTACCATTGTCGTTGCTGACACCTTGAAGAATTTAATCCCGAGGTCTCGAGGTCTTATCGCGACGAAGCATCACTAGACTAAAAGTTCCCGACACAGGCAGAGAATAAAATTTTTAAAATAAGTAAATAAAACATGCAGGAATTCAGAATATTTTTAGGTAACCAACAATTCCCGAGTCCCGGCTTTTCCGACGCAACCCGCAATTAAACCATCATCACGACCTTTCGCCTCCTAATCTTCCTCCTTTTTTTTATACTTAATCTCGGAAATATTTCATGCCACGAAATTCGAAAGCCGGGATAACACGCACAAATGCGGATTTAAGAGTGATTCTTATCACTCTTAACGCTCGAAAAAATTCACAATCGTGACAATTATTGAATCCCTGTCGCCAGAAAAGCAACCATTCCAGAAAACGTCCTATTAGAAAAACAGCATTATGCAGAAAGTGCAGTATTTGTTTCTCGTACAGCGCTCTTGTTTCTGATTTATTTTCTCCGATTTTTTTTTTAATTCTCTTGGGATAATTAAATCATGATTCGAATGTGTCCAGGGTGGGTGCACCTATTCAATTAGATTTTTTTAAGGGTTCTTGGAAACCAAGAGGGTTTGTGAAAACCGCTACTAAACAATCTCTGGTTGAGGGTAAATACGGTAATCATTATTTTCCTCGGCATTGACGAGAAGAAACCTTTCAAGTTTTATCGAGCCGGCGGGTGAGCGACTGAATGGCATACGATATTTTTACCCTGCATTTTTTGGAAGACTCCTCACGATTTTCCTCCTTTTCATCAATTATAGTTTACTGGGTTTTTTTTTAACGAAACTTTTACACATAGTTTGGCAATGGTTCGATTTATTCACCGGATTTCTCGCTGATTTCGTCATTATTTAAATTTGTCTTCACCAGATTTTCCTCGGCTGTGAATCTCCAGGATACCAGAGTTTCATGATCTAGCGACATCTACGCATGCCATTTGCTTTCAATTCTTGTAGATGTCGCCAGTGTCTCAATTCGCCGCTCGTTCTCTTCCACATCCGTAGCGTCTTTGAATATATATAGATTGAAACCAATAAGAAAAACCGTTTTTATGGAAGAAATAGTGCATTGTCAAATAGCAGAAAGGCAAGTTTCATTTAGTTTTGGCAGATGTCGCCAGTGTCATGATTTTTCTCTGGTTCTCTTTCACACTTTTGGCGTCATTGAAAGGTATTGAAGGAAGAAAAGCCGTGCTTTTGGAAGAAATGATGCGTTGGCAAATTGCTCAGAAAGCAGATTTATTAATCCAGCTTCAAAAAAATTATCAAGTCATTTTGGAACAAAATTCGTTACATTGAAAAATTGCGAATGAAGTCTTTCACGTTGAATTCATCTTGAAAATTGTTAATCTGCACAGGAAAGTTGCGAGACAATTCCAAAATGTATTATGAATAAAATATGCGCTCGTGCCCCTTTTCCGATTTTTTAAAAAAATCAACAGGGAGAAAAAAAAGTTGCGCGCGTCAATCATACGGAAATTGAATCAATGTTCGAGGGATAATTCGAATCAACTATCTTGTCAAAAATAATGGCGCCGATTTTACACGAATGAATAATAACCTCCAGAATATCACAAGAAAAAAAACACCAAAAGTCCTCTAGTCACTGTTTCAATGACTCAATTCTGTGAAAACGCTTTAATTACTTCAGGTTAAATTTTTCAAGGGTCACGCAAATATAAATTCGAAATTTGAAGCCAAAAAAAATATATTTGCGCGAATGACGTTTCAACCGCTACTAAAATATTTCTTTTAGCTCGGAATTTCATCAACGGTTCGTCATTTTTCCGACAAATGTATGTTTCCAGATTTTGTTTTCATTTTCCAATTTTGACATTCATAATGCATTATTACGTTATAAAAAAAATATACGAAGAGTTTGAATAATTTGCATATATTTGGGGGGGTTTTCGGGCGACGACCTTTTTTTTTTGCTCATTCCACGACAGGCTTTTCAATCGAATTTCTTCCGAATTTTGTCAACAGGGTCATGCTTCATCAGAAAAGGCTTTCGACTTTCGAGGAATACTCTCTGCCTGGCACAAACTAGTACTGCATTTTTAGACAATGTGAAAAAAATAAATATAAATAAATAAACAAATGGATGAATATACTGTACATATTCAAGCATTGCCCAACCCTAAAAATGGACGCACGCTGCTTTTCAATATTTGAACTAGACGCAACCTTCGCACTCATACAAGGAAAACGTTATGCATGCAAAACATTTCTTGAGGCCACACGCATCTCGAACTCAATTCACCATATGTTTTTTTTTCTTCTTCGTTTTTCTTACTGCATTAAAATAATGCCAAGGCCTGATTTTATTCCAGAGACACCTGAATAATGAAATCAGACTTGAGAACCACTCCCCGGTTTACACTGTATTTTTGCAATTAATATAAACCCCTCCGGATGCTTCAATTTAAAATCTTTAGGATTTTCGAGCTTCGAATTTTTTTTTTACTTTTGGCGTATCAGTTGAAAATTACAAAATGTACGCATCGTCATCTTGTTTTTAAGAATTTCGAAAACCAAGGCCTGGTTTTAATCGCGAAGAAGTGAATAAAGTCTTCGAAGTCCATTCCCTGTTTTTTTTTCTTAGTGATTAAATGTTTAAAATACTGTAATAAATCAAATGTATACCGCACCATTTTGTACTTGAAAGAATGAGAAGAGGATGGCTTTATTTTATATTTGAGAAAAGAGAAAAAGGAATCAAAACACCTTCTGTGCTTATTTTCGCAGTCAATTTAAGCAATGCTTTCAGTGAAAACATTTCTACTGTATACGGAATTCCCGCGATTTGCGTTCCGGGATTTTTTTTAATTTTATTTCAATTAACCAGGGGGGCCAGAACATTTTCGGCACGTTTTCAAATTTCAGCGGGCAACGTCTCAGATTTTTAAAAAATGGCAGAATCCAAATGTTCAACTGCATTCGGTAAAATACCTTTCAAATGTCATGAAAACGTTACACAAATACTGTATACATAACTAGACACATTTTAATCATGTTACAACAATTTAATTTCCATAGAATCCCTAATTCGGCTCCTAGACAAATTCAAGTGAATCAATGACGGACAAAAAGCCTCTACAAAATTTAAGGGATCAGCAAAATAATTCGACTTGAAGAAAAATGTTACAACAATTTAATTTCCATAGAATCCCTAATTCGGCTCCTAGACAAATTCAAGTGAATCAATGACGGACAAAAAGCCTCTACAAAATTTAAGGGATCAGCAAAATAATTCGACTTGAAGAAATGAGCATTTTTGTGGCGAAGAATTACAGGAAATTACAAATAGTGATATTCTAGATCTTCAATTGGTTCTCAAATGAATTAACAGGA